ACCATAAAAAATACATCTAGTCAAGCTTTATTGTCTCACGGTCCATTCCTAATAAAAGACTATTTGTGGGAGTTAAACTGTTTCTTATACGTATTGTACGTATCCGGTTGTATTATACGTATAGGTATAGGGCACCATTTAATGCTTATTGGTATTGATGGATTTCTAAATGCAACCTAATACTGGGTTATAGAATATCGTGTACCTATAGACCTTCTATAGTTATCTTTATATTAATAAATTTATTGTAATTGATAAATATAATAGAATTTATCACTTATTATAAGCTTTCATGATTTGAAGTTAAAATGCCTAATGTTGAAAAAATAAAACAGAGGAGTATATATACATATACATTTATTTTAAAAAATAACTTGTGATCATTCACTCTCACTCTCATTTATTCATTATATTTGTCGACGAATGTATTACGATGTCGAAGTAGCATTGTCATCATTTATTTCTTCCATGTTCTATTTAATTGCATGCTACACTCTAAATGCGCTATTAGAGTGTAGCATGCATGTGCAACAGATATAGATTTAGCTATTTATCTATTATATATATTTATCTGTATACAATATTATTATTGTCTTATCTGTCATTAAGCTTAGTCGGACTTTTGCTTGTAAAGATAAGGTGTGCATAATAAAAATCTAGGGCAACGACATAATCCAGCCGAAGTGCACCAGGATCTAAATGGTGATATGTCGCAGTTTTTTTATTTCTTTTAATGAATGATAAAGGAATGGTGTCTCGGCCTGAGCTAACGGTTTACGCTGGCGGGGTACTTCATCAGGTAAATTCACCAGGAATTTATCATGATGGTTTCTAGGGGGAAACGCGTAAAGGTCAACATTACATGGTACATCATTGAGTTCGCTTCATTGGGGCTCATGTCCAGGTTCTTGGGCGAATGCAAAAGTCGTCACATGGCCTAACCGATGTAAATTAATTGGAATACCATGACAATTTATCTTAGATTAATCCTCGTACCTGAAAGATCTGACTTTCTATAAAGATTGACTTATTTTATCGACTTAAAACAGATTATGGGTAGGTAGTAATACGAAGACATTATTCTTCTCTATATAGGTACTTACCTATATTCGAATATACTACAATTGCTTTATATACATTACATTGTCTTAAACTACTATTTATTTTCTACTTGAAAGTAGAGATTTGTTTTGTTTCATATACTTCTGCTCTCTTGTAGCATATAAGACTACACAAATTAAATCTCCTAGTAGAGAAATTTCAATTTTGCAATCATTGTACTAAAGTCTACAACTCAATACAATTACAAATGCCTACTCAAAAAAGTCTGTGTGATTATTATAATATCGGTTCCTTCAATTCTTCCTGGATGGTAGTGGTACTCCCAGTGTACTACGCGTGGCACTGGCAATGAACTTGCGCGAGGTCAGGAATTATAAATGTAGTATAGCGGACAGCGAGAAGGGGAAACGCTTGATAAATCTGCGTCAGGGTTGTCAGCCATGCGAGGATCTCGTAAAACCAAACCACCAAAAATCTCGTAACTGTACGAGACAGTTACGAGATTTTTGGTATCGATTTTTCAGTATCGTCATCCTCGTACAACTTAGTATGAATTATTAACCGGGAAATTTTACACTACAACTAGAAATTTTTAGTGTACCTAATATGAATTCAAGTTTAATATCCTTTCATTCTCGTATATTCACACTTTGACTGCTGTTGACTGTTTTTGTTCATGATATATGTCGCTGACTCTTTTTGCAAAACTGAGTATTGTATATTTTTGATATTTTAAAATACTTATATGTCATAAATAATATGAGTGTAATATTTACATAGAAATACAATTTTTTAATTTTGTTATTTACAGATAATATCAACGTATACAGTACGTTACTAACAGGGAGTCTGTTAGTAACGTCCCATTCGACACCCGGAGATCCCTCCCTCATTGTCAAAATGTGCGGTTTTTTGGGCTCCTGTATAACACAAAAGTGTTAACGTTGACAACCCTGATCAGTAGTATACAAAGATAGTATCGTAGCTATGTACATATAATAAACGTATATTAGTTGTTACATTTGTTCCGCATACATCGTGCCCCAGTACCCCACTTACGCTTGCAGGGCTGTTTTGATAATTTAACATATTAGTATACTCTATCGTTACTTGATAAGTCATCCTTAATGGATGACTATATCACCATAAGGCATTTTCTGCCAGTCAACCATAAGGTAATTGGGAATTAGTGGTCGATGCATTTAAGTAAATAACATGAAATAAAAAAATAAAAAAGGAAGTAGGTATATAAATATAACGACTGTAATATATAATTAAGCTATGTATTTATACTTCTTTGGTATAAATAATATATGATGTTTATAACTAAAACTTTGGTATCTTATATATTATATTAATTTAAATCACATTTATGAAAATGGCGCCATTTTACAATAAAGCGTCAAATTAAATGTGAAGCGCAACCTTATTATTTAAATTAATAATTAAATACAGTACAGTTGGCGACAAGTAATAATTCACGCGTGTTATTAATAAATAATATATATTTATATCCAAATACATATTATAAACAAATTCAAATCAAACATAATAGATAATATAGGTAATTAACCTACAAATCTTTCAATAGCATTATTCACATAACATTATAGCAAATCTATTAAACTGATGAGGATAACTCTTTTACTAAATGAAAGGCCACGATTTCCATCGTATACAATATCGGTGTACAGCTTTTATATTATATTACATTATTATTACATTCGCTTAAGTTAAACAGCTTATAGTATCAACAAAAAGACTCAACAGACAGCCAATGATAAAACTTTCCAGACCGAATGGAATCTTTTATGACTGAGGAACGCGGTAGTGGAAGTTGGTATACCTACATTGTTACACCATTGCCAAACGTATTTTCCTATCAGTCTCGTGAAATGGCCTTAAAGCTATTAAGCGCCGAATCCAAGCTAATCACGCGACCTCAGAACGAGTGACAAATATTATCGCAAATGAAATTCAATGCCGGGAGGTTGAGGCCAGCCGATTTGTTGATTTGTGATACTCTATATACTGTGGGAATACGGACTCATTCGATTAAACACATACAGGACCATTCGTGTAATATCACACGTTAAGGGGGACAGGTCGACAAAGTAACGTTGTAAAACAAGGAAATGGAGGAGTCACAAAGTTCATGTAAAAATCATGAAATATAGTATCCATCCCACGCTCCTACGAAAGGGAATATATTTTGTGACATCATTTTTCACGTTCATCATATGAGACATCATAATTTAAAACAGGAAATTTTAACTATCACAATTTAATCCACACAGCGCCATCTAGTTCCAAGCAAAGCAGAGCTTGGATTATATTTAGTTTTTTTTTTTTTGTAAACACATACGCAATATATGTACATAGTAAAGACCCAGACCGATAGAAACAATCATACTAATGAATATAAATGTTTATACCATGCGAGGAATCGAACCCGCGGCTATCGGAAGTAAGGCGTCGTAATAAACCGCTAGAACACTGAAAGCGTTGTATTAAAATGTGACCTAATGTTACTAGTCATATATTACTAGTATTGATGTAACGTAATTACCTTTACGGTATCTCGCGATCCCACAAATAGTTGCTGTACTCGATAGAATTGATTCCTACTCGTAGATATAACGACTACTGTCGATGACACATCTGTGAGTTAAGAGGTAGCTACTATTTATTTGGTATGATATAGAACGATGGATGTTAGCTTGTTAACCATGCCATAAGTACAAAAACTGTTATTAAAATGTTAACTTTATATTCATAAATAGAAACTCGAACGTTGTCGCAGATCCAACGACAGTATTTTTTGTCACGCTGAGGGTGTCACGTAACCAGGTATATTTTCATAGACAAATTATATTATCAGTAGGAAACGGCGTTTGAAGATCCCCAGCGCAGAGTGTAGAATCTCAGATTCGGAAGAGGGTAATCTCTTTCGTGCCTTTATACCTACTATAAACTGTGTAGGTTTCAATATTACTTAATGCCTATATTTGTTTCATTATAAATAAAATAAGTTTATTTATAAAATTTATAGGGGGGTCCGGCGGGGGTTTAATTTCGCAATGAGCAGAGCAAGTTATAATACTGTTAATTTCTTAAAATCGTATTCAGTAATAGTTTGCATTGGGAAATTATATCTACATAATTATACGTTTCTGACATCCATAGGCTACGGTATATTTCCTATCAGATTGACGGTAGGCTTGTCTTCCACCATCGTTGTTTTCTTATATCTTCCTATGTTTTCTTGAGATCTTAGTATACAATCTATATATATTTAAATATATATAGATTATTATAGGCGGACCCCCCTAAATTGCTTTTAGCAATAAACTTACGCCTTATTTTACGATACATGTGTCCTTTATTATATTGTTTGTGCTTCTTCTTTACTGTACGTTGCAAATAAAGTATATTCCATCTATCTATCTATCTATATATTTAAATAAATAGGATAAGGGAGAAGCAGATGATGATGCAGATTTACGTGCTCATATGTGGAAAGTATACATTATTATCGCATTGTATTTTTCGCGGATCCTAATATATAATGTATACGTACTACAGAATCAAAATTAAATTCGAATTGATATTATTGGAGAGATGTTTGAAATTTGAAAAATTTCAGCGTATTAGGTGTTACCGTCGCTTTCGGATCGCATTAAATAAAAAAAATATGAAAACAAATTTTACAAGTAAATATTGTTCGAACGATAATACATAAAGCGTCATATTAGTACTTAACTACGTAATGTACATATATATTTATAAGTGTAAAGCATGACTGTATAAAAACAGATAAGTATAAAACACGTTAAAAATTTGTAAATGTATACTTGGAGATCACAAAGAGATCATTGATAAAACCATCGATATGAAAATCACCGTAATAAATAGTTAAAATATAATAAAAAGAATAAAAACAACATAAAAAGTTGCATTAGTCTCGAATGCCTTTTATTTATTTATTTTTTCCTTAATAAATACTTATTGAATTTTCGCTTTTTTAACAAATATTAAACTTAACAGTTTTACTATAATTATTTTTATTAACTTTACAATACTATAACACAGCCCAATAATCAGTAAAAATAATAATATGAATACGCAATAGACATCTAGTAGCATATTCTCGAACCATGTATTAAGTTTTGATGGCATCGAAGGCGGTCCGGTGCCGTGTCGAGCTACGTACTCTGTCCAGTAGATGGCGCTATCCATAACATTTTGTGGTCGATCGTGCCATAGTTTTGAAATATTTTTAGCATTGTTTTGCATACTAGAACAAAGAATACACATCTAGTTAGATGTATTATGTATGTACTTGTCTTTAACATCAACTTTAATATTTATCATGACAATAGCAATATTGTTACATTCCAGCCAGTACCTCTCTATACTCCATACTGGAAGTATGGAGTTATACTTACCTATTTTAATAAGATTTGTTACATTTATAGATTTAGCAATAAGCATCGAGGCTTCCATCGTTAACTAATTTGTAATACTAATTGTAATGCTATGTCTTTTATATATTATGTTATCTGTGGTAGTACTATAAAATATAGATGTCTAGAGAACCAATTTTTGAATTCTGCTCTATTTTTTACTGATTACGAATTTTCCACAGTTCGTACCAGTCAATCAAGAAGAATTACTATGAGTCTATTATTTAGTTCAATAACTGGTATAGCGTATAAGTTTCAGTGATTCAAGAATCAACTAATATCAATGAATACTTACTCAGGCGATGTTATTTCTTTTAAAGCAGCAACCAAGTTTTCCGTATCAATCCGTTCAAACAATATCGTTTTACCCAGTCCTACATGTCTGATTGATGCAGCATTGCTGAACTGGTCGCCGAAGAATGGAATAGCCAGCATGGGCTTCCCACAATGGGCAGCCTCCGATAAACTGAGCATCCCGCCGTGTGATATAAACGCGATGACTTTTGGATGACCTTGAACATGAGATAAACAGACATACCTATAATATTTTTTTGTTTGTGATAAGTGCACATAATAATAAAAGTCAAGATAATAATTATGAACAATCCATACTTCTGTACTAATATTGGAGACTCGAAACTGCGGCTGTCTGTCTGTCTGATTGTTACATTTTCATGACTTACCGGTTAACGAATTCTAATGACTTAATTGAAAAATTAATTTGACGGGATGATAGACCACCGTCATAAATCACCAGGAAGGTTATGAGCTATTTTTATTTTTCTTATTTATACGTTACGGAAAATATTAATAAATATAAATATATATGATGAGTACAAAAGGCGGCCTTATTGCTAAGCAATCTCTTACAGGCAACCTTTAGGTAGATGGTGAAGGTATACAAAGATATAAAGAGGAAAAAGAGTGGGTGGTGCAAATGACAACACAACTAATATATAAATAATAGGTACATACGGAAAATATTAATAAATATAAATATATATGATGAGTACAAAAGGCGGCCTTATTGCTAAGCAATCTCTTACAGGCAACCTTTAGGTAGACGAAGAAGGTATAAAAACATATAAAAGATATAAATAATAGGTACATGCAAATATACATAAATATATATAGACATATATAAACTTAATAATACACATTTCCACGGAAAGTTTGAAAGAAAAGAAAGGGACTATAAGAGAAAGGAATAGTAGCACGAAAGGAAAAGGAAATGAGTTTTAACTGATGTTATAAAGCTAGCAAGAGACTGAGCGCACAGAAAAGGAGCTATCTTTTTTCTTTCTCTCTCTCGTATATCTATTATCTCAAGAATAACGCAATACTTATTTTTAGTAGATAATAAAACAAAACTGTGAAACAACATTAAAATTATGCGGATGTCTCATATACTGCGATGTATGTACATAGATAAGTTACAACATTAGGAATATATTGGAACTTTTTCTTGTTAGCTAAAATAATTTAATTCGTAATGAATACATATAAGATACAGTTCCGGGTTTGTAGTTAGTTAACAAGCCGCGCAGTACACATATCTTGTTTCGTTTTCACGTCTCCATTTTGGGAGTCATCCAGTACGAAACAAGTTAGCGGGGCTTAATGGGTGACAAGGGGTGAATTTCGTGACATCACATTTCAAAATATAGTGTATCTACTATATTTTTATAAAAATTATTTAAAGAAACGTTTTTAATTTATTACGTGACACACTACATATGTAGTGTGTGTCACATAATATAATAATAAATTAAAAACGTTACCTTTAAGGCGACGCCGTGACATAAACTATTACTTCAAAATCGGGCCCCGCGCTCTGCGCATTCATGACCCGATAGTCTGTTACGTGTCGCCGATCGACCGCCAGCGCTCGCTCGCTCTCCCCGTACCACGATATCACGAACACGCGTCCATGTCGCAATGTAACGCGTGAATCAAGTAGACGAAGCTTCGGTCCCCAATTGAACAAAACTATTACGGAGTTTCCTGTTTGTTTATATAATTTATATTTATGAAGGCACATTGATATTTTAGAATTTACAATACAGTGGAACTAACTACGATACGAATTAATTATAAAGATTCTTAAAGTAAAGAATTAAATAGAAATATTGAGGTAGAGTTACACATTCCCGTGATTATAATTAACATAAACTAGTGCTTTTATTACTATCTTTGAAAGAAACACCAAAAAATAATCTTTGTGTTTTCCGTATATATTGTAATTGGTAATTACGACGTTTATTTATATGCCAACGACATTTTTTTGAAACAGCTAGATATTTTAATGTATACTACATTAACGTACTTACGTTAAATGAAATGTGAAAATATACGAAGGTTAGTTACTTTATAAAAGAGACAGTAAGTCTACGTTTCTGTGAATGATAGGTATATCAATTAAAAAATCTATATATATTATATATTTGATACAATAAACCTAAATTTAGCAATAATGTATGTGACTTTAATTTTATTTATTTGATACGCGTAGTGGACATTATTTCTTTATGTTTTAGAAAGTATATTTTTAAAAATGTGTAAGTAATTTAACATTATATGTAAGTAAAGTACGTAAAGATATACACTTTATGACAAAATAGTAAAACTTTTACAGTTTTTTTACAATTTATAAATTATTATAATAAATATTAAGTTTTAATTACATGTAAAAAGGACGTGAACAATTACAACCTAATCATAAAAGATCTATTAACTTCATACAAATGAAATTATTGAATAATTATAGGTTTGAACATGATTATTTATATTTTTATGCATAATTTAAATAAAAAAATATGACTATTCTGCAAACCTTCTCTATATAAACTATGAGTACGCGAAATTTCATATTCATCCGTCCGCGCTGTTTTTCGTAAAAAGGATACAAAGTTATTACTTCACGTATTAATACATACGTTTTAATAAATTTATATAATACTTTTCATTATTTCACTTTTTTATTTATTTATTTCCTTGGACCTACCAAGGAATCTTAATTTTACGGCAAAATAATAAGGAAGATGGATAGTGGACACGTTTACCATGAGTGAGCGAGACAAATATGACGCCACTTTTACCAAAGGCAACAAAAGTAAGTAAAATAAAGAAAAATCTTAACCTAGTTTAGGTTTATTTAAATAAGGATAATATTGAGGAAGAAAAGTTTGAACTCGTTGTACGTGATATATATTTCGGGTCTTTGTAAAATACGATGTGCTGTGCTATTACAATAAGAAAGAACAGGAAAAAGAAAAAAAAAAGTTAAAAAGAAGAAAAGTATTTTCGTTTGTGTACAAACGAAAAGAGATCATCTGCGACCTTTTGCAACACTTCTTCCTCGTAAAGAAAAGTTCTACCTCCAGCCCGTATTTGATTCGGGAAATGGCCGCCCTCCGTGAGTGCGGCCGGTACATATAAGCAGTGATCTGGATAGCGCTCTAAATTTGGATATCTTTCACGATAAAGCCTAGCGGCAGCAATTGCATTGCATCTGCATTCCTCATAAATGAGGTGCTTGTTCGCAATTTTTTGTGAAGTAAACAACAAGGATACCAACACAAAAGTCCAATTCCAAAAGAGACAACCCAAAGTTGTCGGTATGGAATCAACAAGTTCAATTCACAAAAATCCAAGTCCAAAAAGAGAAGCCAACAACAGCGAATACGGAAAGACGCGCAGTAGACTAAGCTGAAGCTGAAACAGAATGAGCAAAATGTACTAACTGGTGTCGGACTGGTAGCGTAGCCATTTGCTTGGTATGGCGACTGTATCTGTTTCATTCGCGCGCGTTTAAACGACGCATCTCCATAACATTTTGCACATCTGTCTCGCTCGCTTTGACAACATGTCCACTACCCATTTCTCTCATCATTTTGCCGTAAAATTAAGAACCTACTACTATAAGCTTGTGTGAATAAGAAACATTTGAACGGAGTAAAATGGGTTAGCAAAAATCGGGTTACTTGAGGTTTTTTTCTCGTTTTTTTTTAGTATGAAACTAACAAGTATTGCACATTTACAATCCTGATTAAATGTCCGAACTTTTAATGGCACTTGCCAAGGCACTTTAGTACATTTTTTTAAAAGAGGGCCTTTCAAACTCGACAATTTATGAAAATTTTAAATATAGTTTAACAAATAGTCTTAATTCTAGAAAACTTGGGGCAATTGTGTCATTATTTTTTACTGTGATTCTAAGAAATGTTATTTGGCTTTATATATCCAAAGTTTAAATGAACAAAAATAATTAAAATTAACCACAATGACCGAATAATGGTAGTTTGACCAAATTTCTAAGTTTTTCTTTAATGCCCCTAATTTTCAAACTGCATGGGATAGATTTTTTTTGATTTTTCTCATGATGGTTACAATCAATTCTCTCACTGCTTGAAATTGAGTTCTGGGACAGCCTGTATATATAATCGAAGCCAAATATTTCACCATTACTTTGTTTTGCTTTCCATAGCTACAAAGACAAGTGCTTACCTAGACTTACTACAGATAAAAAGTACTTATCGGGGAAAACAAAGTTGAAAATATGTCACAAATTTTTATGTGATACTCCAACATATAGTCGGACAGACAACAATGATTAATTAAATAATATTTTTGTGAAATTATTGACAATCAATACGTTTTTTGATTACACTAAATATGTAGTAACATTGAGAAAAAAATACTTTATTTTGGATTCAATATTATATATTATTAGTATTAGTACGTATAACATTAGTACGTATAACATTTATTCGTATAAGTAAATAAAATAGTGTAAAAAATGTAAAAAGGGTAACTAAATGATTACATTACTTGAAATAGTAAAAGAATTAAGTTACAGCAATATTTAATTTTTGTATAAATTCATAGACGACTCCACGATTTTACTTCGTTATAATGAGTCAGTCGATTTTTTCTTTGGGTGTAGGGTTGTCACTTCGCCAATCCTAATAGCCGGACAGACCATCCAGTTTGGCGGGACATATTGGTAAAAAGGCCAGATACCCTACATTATTGAAGGTTTTGTGTCTCAATATCATATAAATATTTATTACAAATAAAATTTTGTAAATTATTATTAATAAGTGTTACTTTAGGTGCGACCCGTCAAAATATTTAAAATTTAAATTGGGCCGTTGATAAAAAAGGTTGCTCACCCCTGTTCTAGATAAACAGTTATCAACATTTTAAAATTCTTCTTAACGTCTAATGAAAGGTAATTGCATAAATAAGTATTATTTACCTGTACCTGTTACTTCAGCAACTAATGAAATAAAAAAACATCTAAGCAAAACAAAACTTCTTGAGTTAAGAAATAAAAAATAAAATTAGTTTTACAATAAAATAATGTAAAAGACTACCAAACGGCGTACAAGACTATATATTTAGCCAGATAAAAAAATCCCGTCAAAATCAGTGCAACCATTTCAGAGATTAGCCGGAACAAACAGACAGACAGACAGACAAAATTGGTAAAAAATGTTATTTTGGTGTATGTACCGTATTTATATTCATATGCATGTAGTAAAAAACGGTTATTTCAATATTACCAACAAACACTCCAATTTTATTTATATGTATAGATAATGGGAGTGCCCCATTTTTATTTATAAATAACTACGAAATCAAAATAATGTAAAATTTGTTTATATTTTCTTAACCATTTCTTTACATTAATACTAAAAGTTTTTTATCATTTTTAACAATTAATTGTCACTACTTTACAAATTATGACTTAGTATTACATTCGTAATATGTACAATAAATCATTACTAACTGTATTAACTTAAATACAGTAATTGTTAAATGTAAAATTAGTAACTGTCATCCGCACCATACTGTAGCGTACGCAGTATAGTATGACGAAATAATTTACGATTTGATAGCGCGCGTTCTCAGGCGAGCTATCCGCGCTAAGCACAGGTCCGACGTTAGCAGGGGCCGGGGACTGACTGACTTGCTCTAACTCTCATACAAAACAACTTGTGAGCAAAAGATTTTTTTGCGGAAAAACAGTTTATCTTGTTTAAAATAAAAACTATTGGTTATTATATACATCTGAATTGTACTATTTATGTGCGTATTTAGTATAATGTATATTGGAAAATTCGAGTCTTAAATCAGTCCCGTTTTCTTATACGAATCAAAAATATATTTTATAAGACCAATCTTTGAGATTTTTTTCTCTGCTACACAAAGTTAATCAATCATGTAACGAGAACTGTCAATATGATGTCAAAGATCTGAAAAATGAAATACCTAAATATCAGCCCCGAATGATTTGTAATTGCTGAGAAAAGTTAAGGTATCTGAGGTCAATATTTGCGATGCGTCGCCTTAAAGTCATGTGATACAATTTATAGATTGCCCCTTCGTAGGTTGAATGTATCTATATTAGGATCTGTAATAATATTAGTAATTAGTATAAATAGGACGAGTATTTTAATAAAAGTAATGTAGGTAGGTATAATGCTGCGAAAGAATAATAAAGCACATGTAAACTAATTAAAGAATATTTGGTATATTATGTATGTAATGTATAATAATACCTACTTATTCATATGTACAAATATTGATTCTCCCCCGAATTAAAAATATGTCATTGAAATATGCGACGTATTTATTATTCACATAGAGTAAATATCTTACTGATATTATAAACGCTAATATTTGTAGGTATATAGTAAGGATGAATGTTTGTTACTCTTTAGTGCAAAAATTTATTATATTTATTATTACGGATTTTGATGAAACTTTACAGTAATATAGCTTATACATCAGAATAACACAGAGTTTAATTATAAAAGATATTATGTAAATTGGGCGAATTATAATGATAATTGTCAAGTAAATGTGATGCACAGGAAGTTACGCGTGTCAGCTAGTTAGGTGCTAATACTTTTTGCTATGCTGTAAGTATAAAGCATGTGATATTTATTACAAACATTGTCACTACCAGTTTACAATATTTCACGACCTCTTGTAGTATAGTGACGTACACGTCGCCATACGTACCTAAATGAGGATCGATCCCCGTCAAGCCAATTAAAGATATGAAGTTTTCTAAATTACCTCGGATATTTACTTGATATTAGTTATCTGGTTTTTCGAAGTAGGCTATCCTCAAGATCAGGCAAGTGGTGTAATATACTTACAAAAGGATTTTTTAAATACTAATAAGCCGACTGTTTTAAGTCATATGAAAAAATATATGATTTCATTAATTATTAAATCGCATTATAGTCTGAATTAAATATGTTCTTAACAATAGTAGAAGAAATAACCTTCATGCAAATAAAGTACAAATACCTTAAAATGCAACATTTTGCGGCGCGGTAAGCAAAATCATCTCGTACAGACACCGAGGTATAAATCCAAAATATATATATAAATAAATAAAAACTTACATAAGACATCCAATTGCGGCATCCATTTCTTAGTGTACACATTATCGTTGCCCTTTGGGAAGTTGTCGTCTTCCCATTTCCAAAGTATTTTCTGCGGTATCCTTCGAAATGCTTCTAGAAACTGTTGCAACTTCTTTTCAGACATGGTGTTAGATTTAAGATTGGACCCGAAACTGAAGTAGATAACTCCATGATCAGCATTTGCCAAGAATTCTTCAATATCCTGCAAACGACGTAATAATAGAGTTCATTTCCTCACATAAGAATAGGTTTATACCTATTTTGTTTCTATGCAGGTATTACTTTTAAGAAACTGTAATATAATATATTGTATACATAGTTAAAGTAAATATTTTATGTAACTATATAATTTTTATTAGTATACGTGAAATACAAATCCCCTAATTATCGTCACAGACACGATGTGCGTTTACCTAAATCCATGAGATAATAAGTTCATACAATTATTTACGACTATTTATACGACATGGTAGGTACCATGTCGTTTCAATTCAATTTTCAAATTTCAAAATTCAAATTTCAATTTCTTTATAATTGGCAAATACAATGGACGAGAAATTTAGTTGTAAAACTTTTTAATGAACATTTCACAGTTATTTAAGGTACTTGCCTATGACAGAAGCGAACACAATAGACTTCAGCAGGTCGCAAAGATAAAATACTAGAACTTAGAACCAATTCCACTTTGTACGCCAAAATTTATTATATACGTATTTTATATATAGTATATTTTTATAATTTTACTGAAGTTGACGAGGTTTATAACATGTACGGTATAAATGTCGACTTACCAAAATAAAAGTTACATGTTCAAATTTCTGAAGTTATTGACTTATTTTTTATCAAATAAATATCCAATTATTTTGTTCCTTTTGTTTTAATTATATACTCATATTACGTAAAACTATATTAAATATATTACCTTTGAAACTTGCTTTGGAGTAGCGATATGAATTCCTCCTATTTCAAGTAATTGTGGCGATAAAATACGGGAACCAGTTACAGAGTAGTGTTGGTAAGAAAACATCATCTTAATACGTTTTCTCGCGACACTTTCTATATCCAATGAATAATTAGGAAGGTACCGCGAAAATGCACGCTCAATACTTCCCTGTAGTCTCCACCGGCCGATTGTATTGAAATACATAAGCATTAAAACTGATTCTATTTTATCATGTAATGACGGATTTGGACCAGCATATGAGAAGTAAAACGAATCAGAAGAAAGATCGAATGGAATCCCTAATCTAGGGTAAGACCACGGCAGAAGAACATGGGATGTTATGCCTATAATTGGCACATCGTACATCGCTGATGCATACACCAGGCCACAGTCGCTTATGAACTGTTCCACAAATATCACATCGTATTTATAACCGCCTTCTAAGTGGGCCTTTAAGTTTCTGTCCGTCAACAATGCATCACAGTCGTCTACTACATGAAAGTGCTCACCCAAATATATATGACTTAACAGATTTTCAATATGTATATAATTCAGATTTTCGAAATCACTTATACTTGGAAAATTGTCAGATCTCAATGCACGTTGTAAGTTCACAAACTTTATGTTATTGTTGCTTTCTTCTTGAGGAAAATTATTAACGATCGTAACATTGTGTCCACACTTAGCTAACTCTCTAAAAAGTGGATGGAACGCCATATAATGGCTTTTCAAAGGTAACGACACAATACATAATATATTGAAAGATACGACCTTGTGTAAAACAACAGCTAAAATTACAAACGCTCTTAAAATCATTCTGAATACCGACTGTCGCCAATCCGCGACAAGAGATCACAGAACACTATTTACTATACGAGCTCGCAATGACCTAGCGACTAGCGCACATTACTGTATATAGGTGACAGTACAACGATATTTAATAATACTATAGATACGGGCTCCGTACACCGTACACCGTACGGAAATAAAATCACAACAACACTAACGTCTACTCCGACTTCGATCGCTTGAACAATGTGCATATGAATAGAGATGTATAATAATTGTGTATATCCTGAATGCCTACCAATCTTAAGAAAAAAGAACTTAATTACTGTGAAGCTACAAACTGTACATAAGTATATTCTGTAGCGAAATCGGTAACCAAATCTGTTGTGCGGTTTAGCACGAAGTGTTGGACAGACAGACGGACATAGACTTTGTTTTACAGTATTTAGAGCAGATAAACCGACATAGGTACATTGTTAGCGTTGCAAACATTTTTATATATAAAATCTACTAAATCTAATCTAATCTACTTTATAAGCGTCTCACCGAATTCGTATAGCAACTGAACACTCTTCAGTTTATTTTCATAAAAAAAGCTTTAAGCTTGAAAAAAAACCATTTTAAAATGAAAATGTTACCCTTATACATGTATCCAAATTATTGCACACTCTATATACATATATTGCTAAATATATAAATGCAAAAGTGTATCTGTCTGTCCATCCAGCTATCTGTCTGTTACTTTTCCACGACGAAACGGCTGTATGGATCCCAATTAAATTTGGCTTGAAGCATTATATTATATGGCATGACTCATAAAAGACAGCCTAGCCTATGTAGGTACATAGGCTAGGCTGTCTTTTGTACAAAAAAAGCGAGAGATAGTGGAGACTAGTACTTCAGAATTTATCTGAACTAATGTTTTTGTTAGACAAAATTAAACTGTCGAAATTCGTTGTTTTCGTAAAAATGTGATATAACAAATTGCATAAACTAGGATAGCATAGATATATTATCATATTTTATGCAAGTTAAAAATAGTTAACTATACCTACATTCCTTCCTTAATGAGTCACGATCACTCAAAACATGTTTGAGCAATAAAACAAAATAGATGTATAATATATGTAAAAAACTGTTATAAAACACATATACCAATCCTACAACATAAATTATCGTTCTCTTTTACTTAAAGGAAGTGTAATTAAATTACGATGTAAGTATTTTTCAATATTCGTTCTATCTCTATTGAAAAACCTTGCATCTCCCCTCATCCAAGTGCGATTGCAATACCTACTTCTAATCGAAAATTTGCCGAAAATACATAGATACACATTCCTACAACACTTCTATCATTACAGTAAATATAAACACAATTTGCTTATTGTTCTGAAAATTCATTATAATTTTAATAACTTGCATATTTTACAAATATTTATACCTCTTGGATTGTCAATACATTATTAATCATTAATAATTAATCAAATTATGATGATTATTTTACCAAAATCGAGTATTCATTTTCGTGTCAATTTAAAACAAACATGTTTTAAGAAAATCTGACTAGTGTGAAACGTTGATATTAGTTGCCTTATCCTATGTACAAAATTTTATTAATTCGTTGTTGTGGCAAATTTTAATAGTTGCACGTTTAGTAGCCAGACGTTTGGAGACGTATGGCCTAGAACAGGCAGCCTTAAGCAAGATAAGTAGGATAGGTAAGTTATAGGACATGTACGATACTAAGGATTGGGATTCCGTTGGAAGAGGTGGGGTTTTTTGGGGGAGAAGATTAAGGTTTCTTAAGATCGGCAACGCGCCTGTGTCAAAGTACCTACATGTTCCACAGTAAGATTTACCCGCGAAATACTAGAATTCTATGGAGCTTTATCAGTTGCATAGAATTTAATATCATAAAATGTCTCATGTAAACGTCATTGTTAAACTTTCTTTCAAATTATATATTTTTTTTTCTTTGGCAAGAGGCTAGTGTTGCCTATTATGCCACTAAAAACAGGAAACGAGACGGGATAATAATTATTATATTATATTTTGACTTCTGTAACGAACCTTAGTAGCGTAATTGTAGTAGGTGACATTTACAAAAAAACTCTAAGCAATTGTGTTATTGTTTGTTTATCTAAATAAATTAAAATTAAATGTATACACTAATCCTATTTCAAATGAAAAATGCGGACTTTCTGTACATGAAAATAAAGAGAACGGCGAATGGAATATTTAAACCGAATTAGAACTTATAGTCGCATCATTAATATATAATTAAAGTGTTTTTGAAATAGCAATTCAAATAAATAATTAATAAAAGTAATGAAGCTAAAAATTGTGTCTTACCGTTGGCACAGGCTGTTGTCGACCAACGTGCATTCCTCCTATTTCCAAAGCTTGAGGTGGCAATAGACGAGCTCCAGTCACAGAATAATGTTGGTATGCAAAAACCATTTTCATTCTTTCCTTCGCTACACTTTCAATATCTAATAAGTTCTCGGGTAAATATTCAGAAAATACTTTATATATACACTCATGTATTTGCCATCGCCCGTAACTAAGCAAATATAAAATTCCTAAAGCTGACTCCATTTTCCCTAGAAGTGATGGATTAGGTCCTGATGATGAAAAGTAAAACGGGTCTGAAGCTATATCGAAGGGTATCCCCAGTCTAGGGTAAGTCCAAGGCATTAAAACGTGTGATGTGATGCCAATGATGGGAGCATCGTACATAGTAGCGGCATAAACCAAAGCGCAATCACTAAGAAACTGTTCCACGAATATCACGTCGTACTGAACACCTTTTGAACGATGTACTTTCATGTTTTCGTGTGTAAACAGACTTTTACATTCTTCTTCTACAGGCCCACTGGCTGGAATAATGACGTGCCTCAATAAGTTTATAATCTGTATTAAAGACGTGTAGCTATTCTCATAGTACTCCAGGGTGCTAAAGCTAGGGGCAACCTCATCGTTTTGTAGATTAACAAACTTGAAGTTAGGCAATGTATCTTCATCTGGGAAATGATTAATTACTGTTATATTATGTCCTCGCTTGGATATTTCTCGAAAGAGTGGATGAAACGCCATATAATGACTTCTAAATGGTCCTGATATAATAGCAAGAATATTAAACCCAAAAACATTGTTTAAATTTAAAATAATTAATATAAAAATCAGGATTACGTATTTACACATTTAAAGATATTGTCAACACGGTTATAGTAGTGAGCTAATTCCAATGAGTTTACCGACCGATCACTGAACCCGACTGACTAGTGGTACAAGTCTAAAAGGAGCCGTCATACCACAAACTAAGATTGTTTGGGTTCCGTATACACGGAAAATGGACCTCTTTTATTGTTTCTATGAAATTGTTAAAGTACTAATGTATATAAAATTTATAATGTAGGTACTTATTTTATTACCTACTACCCGGGACTATTTCTAGTTTTTTTAGATAAAATGTCTATGTCCTATGTCACGATTACTCATCATACAAACTATCTGCCGGTCAAATTGCATTAAAATCTGTTTTATTTAGGTGGGAAAAGCATGCATAGCAAAACAAGCAGACAGGCAGACACTTTCGAATTTATATTAAAATAAAATGTCATGTCATGTCTTATAGTTACGGGAGAGTAGAATGAAAAAGTAGGTTTTACCAGGAGTCAACAGAGCTTGATGAAAGAAATTGACAATTAAATCAACGTGTTCTCATCTCCTATTATAATTAGACACCAATATACATACATGCGAAAAAAACTAAATACTTAAAACATGTATACGGAACCTTATCGGTATATTTTGTTCCAGCTTGGCCAGTTTTTTATACTGCATCACAGCTGCCATTAGTGGCCATGAGGTCTCGAGCTGTCGGTGCATGTCATAGAGTATAGTTGATATAATCACAGATAAGATATTACACATTGGTAGTCGCGCATTATATACTGCGCTCGTATTCGTTGAGTATTTCACGTTTTACCGCCATTCCACAAATCTTCTCGATTTTGCACCGACCGTGACGCTTCAACAGCAGTACAATGTAATGTTTATTTTAGTAATAATTTGATTATTTTTAATGGTTTATTTATTTTTAGGAGTCGGTATTACTGTAGAGACCATAGTTGTATGAATACGTTAGCTACCATTATTAAACCAAATTTATGGTTAGCCACCGATAAAATGCGCTTAGTTATCCGGTTGCGACAAAGAAAAAGATTAAAAATCTGTCTTTTATCAGTATTTTTTTATATAGGAATATATCTGGTTTGGATGATGAAGTCCTATATCCTCTGGTATTCTATAATGCTCTTCATACTTGTCCATTAAAATAATCCATTAATTCCATCAATTCCATTAATTAATTTAAGTTTCTAGTCGAGTCTTAATTTATAAAGGTAATTTATTTTTTGTTTGTGGTCAATGCTCTTTGGCGTTTACTACTGAAAAGACCAAACATAAAATGCGGTTAATTAACTGTTAATAAAAATGGACTTTAAATGTTATATATTAGTTAATAACTATCTTTATCTGTTAATAACTGACTTCGTATCTATAGTAGAGATTAGTTATTTCTTGATATAGACTCTAGTAAAATATGTTATGAAATGCAATGTACCATATTTTAATATACGTATGTACATCTCGAATATTCTCCGTGTACATAATTTAAAATCAAACTGATGGCCTACCCTATGTCAACCTGGTCCAGAAGAACCCGTGTGGGTCACCACCTTAGGCCAGAGACTGAATTAAAGTAAAAGGAATATTATCGAATTTATGATCGAAAGTAATCGAAACTATCAGATATAGTTCACATTTAGGTCACCGGAGCTGAACCCTAGACAGCTACTTGCTCCCTGGCTTTTAGCTAGCCCCGTAGGGAACGCGAAGGCTAGAGCTAAACACAGTACATCAAGTATATAGCCAATCCACAGCTGGCCTACCTAAACTGAAGCACTTATTTGTCGTTAGTTAAATCGATAAGAACAGTAATATCACAATACACTGTGACGCCGTGGATTGTCTTTTCAAACGATAGTAAATTACATAGAGTAATTTAAGACAATAACAGGCGATCCTAGCCCTGGTAGAATCATAAATGGTATTTGAATTGTGTATTTGATTAAACATTATTTCAATTAGAAACCTAAAAAAATATTCACGGCCACATGAAAGTACAAATTTTGATTTGGTAAGGGAATACGTAGAAAAATACATACACGTTTTTGAAAAATTTCAAAGTACTAATTCTACAATAAAGATGTAGACTGTAGAATTAGTAAATCTATTCTATATCTAATGTTTGGCTTAAGAATAAAAAGTCCATTTTTAATTTGAATTATTTCAATAACTTTATTCAATTCAATAACAATAAATAAAAAAATAAATACCTAATATATTATTCTTATTTAAAAACAATCATTTATCATATTATTAAAAGAGCCTTTTTTGAACAATGTATAAACAAACTGCTAAAAAGAAGAGGAATGCAAAAAACATTATTATTTTATCTGTGAACTCCCGACGTCCATATTTAGTTAATAATTTGCTCGACTGAGAAATAGAACTTGCTGTATTTCGAAGCTCTGATTGTGTCCCCTGAAATAAAATTAAAGAAATGGTAAGTACTACAGTATGATAGGATAAAAAAACCTAATAAATTTGATGTTGATAAATAGTTAGGACATAAAATATCTTATAAAAGAAAGAACTGTGTGCTAAGTATTAACTCAAAATGATTTTTAGAACAGATGACAAATACAGTTAATAAAGAAAAATAATAACAGAACACAAAATGAATGAGAGACTTCTATAGAATATTTTTTCCTTATACTAGTAATAGGGAAATAAGAATATAAAACATTACATATCCTATATAAACACATGTCTTCTACACATGCACATAAATATAGGATTTATTATGTACATAAGTTTCTATGGTAAAATGTAAATGTCAAATCTATGTTTTTTAATCCTATATACATACATATGTATATATTGTTGTTTTATAATAGTATTATATATTAAATTGGTGAAGTTAAACCATGTCAGCAATATTTTGTATAAATATATTTTTTTAAATCTGTTTACAGATGTACCTGTCATTCGTGAACAGAATTTTACAGTTAAAGTAGATTTCTTTATTGGTCATAACGGGCAATAAAAATTAAATATGTACATACATGTACAGTTGAACTTGAAGAAACTAAGCTGTCCAATGTGATTTGACTCCTCTGTGTTGTATCAGCTAGTTGCCGACTTATGGACATTAACTGTTCTGTCACTCCTGCAAAATATAACAGATATTACAGATATTTGTCTGGTCTGATCAAAAACTATATGAGCATTATCATTCATAGCAAAATTCAAATGTATGGAATTAACACTTGATTGATATTAGCCGTTACAGCTAAATTTAATCAAATCAAACCCATATTGGTCTTGTGGAATCTTTCTAATACTGTTAGCTCAAACATATTGAGAATCAATTGTTATTTTTAAAGAATATGTTAATTAGGACAAGTTTAAGATCCTATTTATAAGTAACAAATTATGCTTAGTGCATGATAACTATAAACACAGCTATTATTTTGTTTTTAGAGATATAAATAATATATATATACCTACCTGCCACTTTAAAGGCAGCTTGAAACCAGAATAAAAACAATATAGTAAATATATCAGCAAATTGTGGTAACGGATTATTGGACACTGTATTGTTACTCTGTCCCAATTCAGAATTCTTAATAATATATAATTATAACAACCTGTGGACATTTTGAGCAATCCATCCCTGTCAAGTGTCTTCTTTCTATTTCTAACGGCAGACTCCTCAGGAGCTGATGGCTTCAACAACTCTTCTTTTAGAGCTTTCTCTATGGCAAACATTGTATTAATATTGGCATCTTTGAATTCCTTTAATAATCTGAAAACAAGTACATACTGAAAACTATCATATATTAGGCTTTGCCAAATTGTCAGTGGGCACAAAATAAATGTGACATACCTATTTCAAATTTACTAAAATATATAATTGATAATGTGTAGCTAGTATATATGATCTCAATATAGATTAACATTACTTATGTCAGGCTGAAAATCATTTATTCAAAAAATTAATTTAAGCACTGGCAATTTTAGTTAGTCTTATCACAAGAAGAACGAGCAAAAACTTGTGTGGCTTTTAAATAACATAACAAGAAAGATTCTACATTATAATATATATATTTAATAGATTTGTCTATTCAAATCAAAAAGAAAGATATAACTTTATAAATAAAACAAAATAGTCAAATTAAAAGCTAATTTAAATGTAATTAGAGATAATTACAATCAAACTATGTTCATATATCCAACAGTTTATAACGTTGTACAATGAACTATTATATATTTTTATATATTATCTTATAATAGGCTTTTTTAATACATTTGTTTAAATCATGTTCTTCCAAGTAATGGTTTTATCCTTACCATAAAATGCTAGTTGTTAGACGGCATTTAGGTAAAATTGATTTTTATTCTGATTCTACAGCATATTTGGGATCACCTTGTATAGTAATATTTTCTGTACCATGTGAGCATTGACGTAATGACTCTCTAGAACTCATCTCTCAGCATTGTAAAATAAATATAGTATTTATATGCCCTACCCTTGACATAATGCTGGAAATTAAAATTCATTCAATGCTTCCACGTCTGTTAATTGCCTTACTCTCTACATTCTAGAATGTAAAAAAACTGTATCATTAACAAAATTTACTATTTCATCATTAAGATAGCTGCGTATTTACTTGTTTTACATTTGAATTATGCACAGTTTTGTTGGAGTTCAATAATAGATTATTACATGTGAACCAATTTAGTATAGCACATAATTTAAACATTTAAAAATTAAACAGCTATTTTAAAATACTACATTATATATATATATTGAATAGATTTTTCTATCCAAATCAAAAAGAAAGATATAACTTTATAAATAAAAGAAAATAGTCAAATTAAGAGCTAATTTAAATGTATATTATTTATGTTTTATTATTTTGAACTATATTTTATATATTAAAAATATATATCACAAGTAATGGTTTTATTGTCATTCTTGTTCTGCTAATGATTATACTTTTGTACATAATATCTATATTATTGCTCTCCATTCAAAACTCTCCCTAGAATGTGTTTGCATAATTATATCTACCAGCCCCATATATATACAGTCCTATATTCACAATAATATAGTTACATTTTTTATCAAATACTTAACTAATGATTCATTACAATTTAAGCAATACAGAATTAGAAAACAATTAAATATTTCATTCCTTTTCTTAAGTACTAAATACATCTAAAGGTGTATACTGTACATGTATCACAATGGGGATTTTTTAAGAGACATTGACTCCACATAGCTACCTACTTGATTAACATTTCTTTACTGTATTAAAAACAACTACAACATGAATACTAGAACAACTACTAGTGAAGCATTTCAGAATTAGCAGAAAACACTTTGGTAACTGTATTGATTACTTATATTGTTTTCTTTGATATTATGTACTTAATTAGGATAGCAAATAACTCTTCTGATAGTAATAGTATGTATATACATGAACCATATATATCACGGAATAACGTCATCACGCCAGCTAATGCCCTCATATGTTGCATCCCTGAGGATCATGTACCCAATATCTATACTACCATGTCTCATTGTTCAACCGCACTTCAACACTCCTTACAAACGAATCTGCTTGTCGGCAATAGATGACTAGACTAGACTAGACTACTACAACTTTTTTAACTACGACAAATATCAATAATTAATTAATATTTTTCACATTATTGAAGGTCATGAGATAACCACGTAGGCGACTTCGTTCAAAGTTTACTTGAGTAAAAACTAATCTCGGCCAATTGTACATGCCTAATAATAAATATTCAAACCGACTCACCTGAATAATAGCCTTAACCTGAAAATGATACTTGGCAAGATTCTTCACGTAGTTCTGGTAGACAACGTCCGGATTTTCCAATTTTGCAAACAATTTTTGAAAGCTTTCTGGACTACTGAGATCAGTTTTTATATTCATTTTCATGATTTCGTTTTCTACAACTTTTACTAACTACGACAAATATGTGATATAATATTGTAAAGATAATACTGTGCCTATGGTATAGACATTAAAAATTACATTAATGAAATATCAATATGAAAATAATAAGTGACTTCTATACCTTATTTATAAACGGAAAACGTCACAAGAACTACTCACACACATCAGTTACAGATTGTCACAACAATCAATATACACATATGTCAGTGTCAAACGACAGCCGTCAATTACCAAACGTCAAAGTAGGTTACTATTTTTTTGCAATCAAACGTAGTGATTGTTTTCTAATTAATGTTTATTTGACAGGATAATACTGTAAAGAGCAGGATGTGAACTAAGGCAGGAAAATCACAGTTTATTTGTATATTCCCACTCAAATTTCTTTTCTACAAAGAAAACTTTGTTGATGCTAACTGTATTAGATCTTAGTTCCGTCTTGCTGTAGATGCATATAAGAGACGATTATTACTTGCCATTAGGTGTGCCGTCAGTTTCGTTGCTATTTCAACCATAGAATAAAATAGGTACCTACCCTTCTCTCTTAAATGTATGGATGAATTAATATAGTGCACCCTCTTGCGCCAACAGTATCAGAGGACCATGACAGAATGTGGATGAAGTCTATTTGATAGTTAGCTTATAGTGGTGATGTCACCAGGAATGAACCAAAATGGTTTGCAGGGTGCATGCAAGGTCAAGCTGATACGGCCACTAGTTCCATTACTAGCAATCCCTTCCCAGCAGCCCTTTGATAATAATGACCCTGGATAATTCACAGTGTCATATAGTCCCTTTGATGGGAGTGACAAACAAGTGGTAAAATACTAAACCTGTTTTTATAAATACATACATAATATACATAGAAAACACCCATAAAGATACAAACAATCGTACCTACTCGTGAAAACAAATGCTTGTGTCGCGCGAACCCGCGATCGGAAGTAAGGCGGTGTGCTAAACCACTAGACTACCGAGGCCGTCAAAAATATTGGAAACAACAAACTACCTCAATACATCAAATGAACTTTCAAAAGATCCAAACATATCTCTTTTATGGTTTGTTATCCGGATCCGACGTTATCCTAATTCGGATGGAGCTACAAATTCAATAATGTAGGTACTGTTTTTGTATTTACTGTATTAATAAACAATAATTATTTAATAACCTACCTACACGATGATTATAACTATATATATACAATCAAATAGGTGGTTTCGTTTTCAATAGGTTTATCCTCAAATAGATACATTTTATATGTAGGTACCTACTTAATAGAAACTCATGGATATATACACAAATATTTTTTTGTGTTGAAATATAATAAGAATATATCATATGCTTCAGACAAATTAAATTTATTTAATTCTTCAATCGACTACATCGATTAAGACAGCAAAAACAGTATAAGCATTGTACAGCGCCTGGAATAAAATGTAATAGTAATAAATTTAGCATCAGAATAAAATCCTAAATATACAAATGTAATTGTATAAATAGGATTTCAGATGACTCGTTAACTAAACTAACTATTCATTTATTTAGACTGTGTTTTCTCAAATACATATATACCCGTAACAACTAGCCAGCATTTTCATTTGCGTTTTACAGTTATCTTTAGATATTATTTACCTAAATATCCATGAAACATCTTCACACGAACATAAAATCGGTAGCGAAATCATTGCTGTAGTAATAAGTGTCCTAGATTACTATTATGTATGCAAAGCGTTAGGGAAAATAATAATATTTATTACATATCGAAATATATACAGCTCTAAAATCCGTGGTGATAAACACTGATTATAGAGCTGTGTGTAGACCTTCACGTGTTTATTTTCACACCAGTTATAGGTTACTGGAGGTCTCCTTTGGAAGAAGAAAAACTTATGAATGAAGAAATAAGACTAAGTTCTGCCTAAGTTTGAATTTAGGACATCGACTCAAGCAGTCATAATTTACATCGCTATTATAATAAAATGGGACAGGGGATCGATAGTGGAGGTATATAGTTGGCACATTGCGTGCTTACTTATCCGGGATTATGTCGGTCACATTAGCTTTTCTACGGATATATAGATATTTATTTCGGATTCTATCACGTAATGAAACTTCGACCAAAGGCCTTTCCACAGTTCGTTAAGCGAAATCTACATTTTAATAAAAAAAAAATACAAATACCTGACCAAATGTGTGCATTGACAAATTAGCTATTCCTCCAGCGCTTAGAGTAAGAGGTTTCTGTGCTATCCTTATAATAAACAACAAGTCCTTTTGCAATCCGACTGGCCAAGAAGTCCATGCTACATCGTATGCTGCCTGAGCGATGCCTTCGCTCTATGAATTTTGAAAGTCAATTTTAATGGTTTGTTTTTATGCAATTGTAAAGTTAAACAAGCTGACGCTGCACCTGACAGTAAGTGGTACCTGTCGCCTATATACATGAATAGAACGACGGACATCACGTTATCAATGATATCCGTAATCTAACTTATACGTTGTTATTCCGGAGGATTTAGTTAGTATTCCGTAAGTACGACAGTCACTCTTATTTCCAAGCAAATTGTACTGTAAAACATGTTTCTGTTAACAAGACAAGGTATAATATTATATTTGTATTTATATGTCATGATATAACTCACCCTTCAACCGACACACAGTTTACAAAGCAAGCTGCTTAGTGCCAGAAATAGGTGAGAATGACAAACGCAAATAACTTTTTACAAAGTCTACTTTTATTGTCGTGTCGTGTAATAAATGTAGTTTATTTAATTTAAGAATCTTATTAGACTGTCGTATATATTATCAATATTACATTATACTTATATATAATTTGCTGTAATCTATGGATTTAATATTTTACATTAACTTAAATAAACTATGTATCTGATAAGTCATAGTAATTACACGAACAATTTATGTAACTACAAAGTGTTTGTTAATTATTAGATCGTATATTTATATTGTGCTTTGCATATTCTCAAATTTCAATTACAACTTTGTTTATCAAAATATTACTTACTTGAATCATTAGTTCGTTACCCAAATAACAGCAAACGTATGCCGTCATAATAGCTATACACAAAAAAACAAAAAATCCGAAAAGCAGCTTCTTGTCTTCAAATCGCACCTGAAAATAATGTTATTTTTTTATGTACGCATATCAGATCCGATAAATATGTAAATAAAACTAAATGCTGTTATAACAAACTTGCATTTTTTCTTTTATTCATTTGCTCAACAGATATCAAGCTCTGACAAAATTAAGTATTTTTTAGTACCTATGTAGTACATAGTCTATCGGTCTTAACACATCTGACTCTACAATAGTACCTACTATCCTTTCCTACTTCATTCAGACAAATATATTTTTTATACATCTTTCACATACTAAACTACATACCTCCTAACTACATTACTTAATTCCTAAACATATATTTATATGTTTAGGAATAACATATATTTTCTTAAAGATGTAGTATGTTAGATACTAAATTACTAAAAATATTAGTTTTTCATTCACTATGCGAATTTACAATATAGGTAAAATAAAAAGATTTGTACCACCGCGACCATCAAAGCGTTCAAACATAGTTCCACAGTGATTGCAAAGTTTTGTACAAACAAATATTCTTTGAAGATGTTTCTCATTGACTTCGAGTATCTGTAAGTGTTACAAACATTTCAGAATTAACTACAGTTTATTGACAGACACCTACTGTATTATGCCATATAGTAATTTCATTACCCCATTATGCGCACGTGCTTCTTAATTATTTCCTTAATTTGAAGCCTAAGCTCATCATCAGTTCCCGAGAAATTTGTCAATGCACGTATTCTGCGTTGTATCTCTACTAACTGTTCACATAAATACATTATTAAACTGCACAGCAATCCCTGCATAGCATTCGCTCTCACCGTGCAAGGTGTAAATGTAGCTGCTGCAATTTGTGCAAATAGTAATAAATTCTTCATGTTTTTCAAAGGATCAAACGGTACCCAGGCCTCCACTACCATTTCTCTATTCAAAAGAGCGGCCCCACTAAATGCCGTAATTGCAAGTAAACTTAATCCTGTAAGGACTATAGTATGAACAGACATATGTCGATTGCATTGTTTAGAAATTTTATCACCGGAATACATTATTTCACAGATTAATATAGATATCTCCTTGTGTTTTATTGTAAAGAAGACGTATTTCAAAATGAAATTTAAAGCGACGACATTTTTGTCTAAGTTGCTTATAAACACCGTCAAATCAGCTGCGTGCTGATAAGTGCCAATAGCAGTTATTGTAATATATATAATTGGTAAAATATGTAGAATGTATTGGTATATGCGATACGCAATTACTTGGGTTTTTGACCACCTATCACTCGGCCATAAGCCGACTAAAAAAAGAAATTTTAAATTGAAAGCAAAGTAATCTTTTCCAGGCGAGTAATAATCGCCCAGCTCTTTCAAAGACATTTTGAACAATAAAAACGTATATTCTGTCCGCTCTTGAAGAAACCAACAGCATTATACATACATAAAATTGTTCATTGACAACGTAAATTAAAGAAAATTATACTTAAAGACAACCATGTGAAATTACAGTCAATCGTAATCCGTAAGTCAGCAATTGTAACTTGCAAACAACAAGCGCATTTTCAAATTAGTAAAAGTTTTAAATTAATAAATAACCGTCAAGGAGTCAAGGGTAATTGTGATGATAAGGTCATTATTGATCGATGTTGCGACTAATAAAACCAACGTTTAATAAACGCACTGTATTTTTTAATAAATAACTACATGTTTTTCAAGAAAATCCTTCATTAATAAACGTGATCTTGGTTTTTGTGTTACTTGTTATGTACGCACATTTACTTCTCAAAGATTTCACTAATTTTTTCGTTCCACAGCAGTATAAATTCAAATGTTGGCTGAAAATAAAAAAGCAGGAGCTTAATACAAATTCAAATTCAAAATTAAAAAATCATTTATTCATGTAGGATATTTTAGCCCCATATGAGCGTCAAATTTTTTATATTATATTTTTTCCCCTACCGCCCAGTTCAGTATATATAGAAGAACTGGCAAGAAACTCTATCGAATTCCTTTTTTTTTAAAAGCCAGTTTATTTACAACGTATATTTATATGTCTGATGTCTTTGTCTAACAATAAATGAAAATGCCGTGCATGAACAACTATTGCTATGCTCTCGTCATTCAAGTAATCGTTTAGTGAGTAACGTTTTGCTCAGTAAATATGATTTAACAGATGTTTTGGATTTATTCAAGAGAATTCCAGTATATACTTTGGTATATATAATAATACATATATTCAAGTGTTTTTAATATCTACTTATTTAGTAGAAGAAGACTCGCATTTGTTTTGCTTAAACCATACGCTACATTAGATATGTTATATTTAAAATTAATTTGACATTATAGAAATTTAATATGTATACTGAAAGTTGAGACAGAAACCAAGACCGTGAATGTAATATTTCTATTTCAATTTATTTTATTTTTTATTATTTGACGGCCTCGGTGGTGTGGCGGTTTAGCACACCGCTTTACTTCCGATGGGTTCAATTCCTCGCACGGAGAAAACATTTGTTTTTATGAATATGATCGTTCGTATCGATCTGGGTGTTTTCTATGTATATGATGTACGTATTTACAAAAATAAAATGTTAAAAATTCTAAATCTTAGTATTTATATCAGTTGTCTAGTACGTATAACACAACTTCTGCATACGCTTGTGGCTAGATGGCCCTGTGTGAATTGTTCAGGCTTATTTATTTATTATTATTCTATTTTTACAATATACTTACTGGGGATACAAATGTACCCAATATCCAAATACACGATCCCAATGAGGTCTGCCTCTTCTTACTCTGCATCCCAATAAAGGATATTCTTTTGCGATTTCATAGCTTTTTAACTCATTAGTATTGTTTGTGTTCCGTTTTTCATTGTCAGCACAAGCATGTCTCTTTCTATTCGGTGTAAGAAGACTCGCTTTCTCATCGTCCGTCATAGCTTTACAAATTTTTGAATGAGTTATTTTACCCTTTTCATTAATAACTATCATATGAGTTAAAGAACATTCATTGGCCTCGAAACATTTGATATCATTCTTTTTTGTACCTGTTACGTAAAATTCTAAATGCAATCTATCAGGTCGATTGGCGTTTCTCAGCTGTAACATAGTTTTGTTTGCCATATCAGCGATCCAAGTTATTTCATCTTCAGTTCGAACAATCCATAGTAAATGAATTCTGCCAGGTGATTTAGATCTTGGGTTCCTAAAACAATTTAAAACTATATAGATATAAAGTCGCTACATTATTATCGTCTAGCAACAATATTTAGTTATGACGACTGGTAGCACAGCCACAAAATTAATTTAAATATATATCAGTCCACCATGGTACATATCAGGTTGACCTATTCACGGCTTCCTCTGAAAACCATCCTCATAAATTCCTGGCGAATTTGTCACTATGAGCTTATTGACCTCACCCTATGCTCATCTTATCATACTCCACTGGTGCTATGGCAATTTAATCTGTAAACGCAGGCTGGTGCACCATTGAGTTATCGTCCATTAAAATATATATAAATGTAGCTAATTATTGAAGTATTAAAAAGAATTGTAAATAATTACAGCAGCATATGATGCAATAGCGACACAAATGGTGTGATCCCAACACCGGCAGCCACGCACAAAGCAACGTCGTCTGCAGCCGCGCCCTGCATAGGGCTAGAGAACGCGCCATCCACCAAGAGACTGTAATGATATTGTATTAACATTAAAAAAACAAATAGTCTACAAATCATTGTAGGAAACATCTGCTCTCTCTTATTTATTTGCAGTCAAATTTGAAACCACATTTCTATTTATATATCAAAAGTAAATATGAGTAAAAACCGATTTTCATTTAATGTTTGACTATTTTTTCTGTTCCAGCATTTAAAACCTCATTATTTCTACCCAAAATATTTCATCGATATCGACACCTAAATAAATATAAATAAACAATATACATACAACATAAAAATATTTAAAAAATTGTTCATTCTCTTGCCAGTTCATCTCAATTGAATACATATGTAGTAGTTCACTACATATGTATTCAATTGAGTAGTAGGAGATAGTATGGAAAAAATTAATACAAAAAACTTGACGTTCATAAGTGACTAAAATATCATGCATGAATGTGATATGTAAAGAAAATGTTGTTATTTAAACAATTTTAGCTTATTTTTATTATTTAGATGTGGATTAGTATTAGTAATTAGAAGTGGATTTTCCACTTGAAGAAGAAAATTTTGTTAGATACCAGAATTTATTTTTCTTACCTTAATCTGTTAGCCCCATTTTCCAACAACAGCTTTTCTAAAGCCTCTGTCCAATCTCCTTTAACTCTAATCCATATAACGAAACTTCTAGAAATGGATGTGGGTACCTACAATTTAATATTATAAGTAATACTAGAAACAATGGACAAAGGATAACATTCGGATAAATAACTCCGGTAGAGCGCAACTACAGCTCTACCATCTATCGTTTCTGTATTAGTGTTCTTCTTAATGATAGTTGTAGTATTATAATCAATAAGCTTTATGACTATTTCATTACAATTACCATATAAGGTTTGAAAAAGAACATTTTCTGTACTTCCATAATATAATCTGCTCAGTAATATGTATATAGAGTACGTTATATACTGATGCCGTAAAACAACTATGTTAGCGTTATGTTTTGTTCTTATAGATAAAATTTCTAGTTTAAGAGGCTCTTTAATTCTCAGATGTGGCAACCTATGAGAATTGTCATATCGAAATAATACAATTCTGGCAGAGCTGTATCCTTTCTCTTTTTTAGAATCGATCAAGTTTTATTTCTTTTACCTTAACAACAGTGAAGGGATGCCACTCTAAAAACGATATGTCTAAACACTGCAGCAAAATGTACTGTCCCATTCTGCAATTGAAGTGTTCATGTGGACAGCTCAATGTCAAACTTATAGTTCGTCCTGCCATGTGGACCACCTGGGATGGATGGAATTATACATACACAAATGTAATACCAATATGTAATATATCTAATAATAAAATTTTTCAATCAACCAAGTAAATTGTATCAAGAGTCGAAAATCAAAAGGCAGCTAGTTACGAATAGCATTGCATAAACATTAAACTAAGAAGAAAAGTTTAATTTCAAAATCACTTACTTCTATAATATGCACCCTTGCGCGATTTCTAGAGAATATTCTCCAAAGTAGATCGATCATAAAGCATCCGAGCGGGAACGTCATCCATGCCCAGGTCTGGAATGGGATAAATGATATAAATTCCCAGATGGGTGATGGGGTAGTCCGCGACATCGAAAATTATATAAGCCCGATCTAAATCCGGAGAGTAACACCTACTCCACGGCGCAGGCGTTTCTTTCAATTTAAAACACAATAAAACCTTCTATTTTAATCCTAAACATGTAACTTTTTATTTTATTACATGACATTTTCCTCGAAAAATATGACACTCTTAATCACAACTAGATTTTGTATGATTCAGTCCACGGTAAGTATTAACGTATATACATACAACTACAGCTAAAATAGATAAACTCAAAGATTTGTAACAGCGAGTCATCAGCAAAATATATCTGTATACAGTAAACATATTACATCTTGTTTAATTGAACATTCTAAACTTACATTACATTCGAGTTCGAACATGGACAATAAAATATTAGTCATTGTTCTTGCGATGGCAGTGTACTCATTGACAATATAACCTTAATAACGTTAAAATTTATAATTTAAACAAATTATCGAATTTTATAGGGGTATAATATACCAATTAAGCCAAGACTGTAAAAAGTCCAATGCGTTTCAATGCATACAGTCTCATCTATTTGAAACGTCAAGTCGCTTGCTTTGTGAGCTATGCTGGCATGATTGAGGGAAGTTATGTTGTCTTATGCGTCTTATTAGTGAAATCCAGCAAAACACGCATCATGAGAATGGCAACGCATAAGTTGTATCACAGATATCACATAACAACGTGATATAGGCGATCTTTCATTAAAATAAAATAAATATGTATATACAAAGCTCACAAAGTTATGGAACCCGGACGAAACCGACGCCAGTGTTATCTTCTCTTTACATTGTGAGCAATATTTACAATGGCAATATTGTACAATACGATAATAAACTCTATCGTTCCACCTAGATGATGTATAGACCTTGAATTGTATCGACTAAATTAAATTTACCGGCTCTTATTGTTGTTAGTAAACAGAATTGAGTTATGTAGTAGGCGTAGCCACTATTATACCTATAATTAAATTTAGAGAAGGCCAAACTAAGATGCAGTAACAAATAGGGCGCGACGGACTAGTCGTAAAATACAGCTATTTGGACACAGCTGTTTCCAGTAATCAATGCTTTTGATAGGTAGATTTATAAAATGTTAAATAGATAGAAAGTAATAAAACTCAAACAAATTACTTCCGCTCTTTAAGTCAATAAACTGACTAATTTGATTTCTTTCATGCCATTATTTGGAGAAAACGATGTTCCTAAATAGCAATAAGGCAGGAGTTTTCACCGAAGTATCTTTAAGGTTTTTAAAATTAGTTGTCAATTACTTTACTATTTATCTGTCCAAAAGGAAAAATTAGTCATCATTTCATATTTTCAAGAAAAATAGAGTAAGTAACTGTATAATTACTGTTACACACTGCGCATTGCAAAAAAAAAATCCTTGAGCAACGAATTAATCGGGCAAGCAACATGTGTTGAAATAACAAACAAAATTTGCTCAGGAATAATCACGGTAAATCAGTTATATAATAGATAAATGAATTTGTAAACAACTGAGAAAAAGGTTTAAAACAGGATTTATGTAAGCAGGAAAATATGGCGGCGAGAGAATATTTGGAATCTACAAATGAGAATTCTGAATAGTGTTACAGAATATTTTATTTTTATATATGAATTTTTAAATACCACTGTAACGACAACTAGATGAGCGCATCCTTTCAAATTAGATTACTTATTGCTGCAGATAGATAAACCTAATCTTTTGATTTCACCATCCAAAAGATAGCATTAAATAGACAGGAAAATATTACAGGAAATCGATAAAGAGATGACAAATCCAATCGATAAGTTTCAGGCAACCAATAAAATCATTTCAGTCAAATATGAACAGAAAAAGCTTCACCCAACAATATTCTTAAAAAAATTACTATCAACGTTTCAATACCCCAATGATATGATACTAAGATGCCCAATATAATTTTATATGCTATACAATAGATATAAAATTCAATAACAATTTGAAATACCGAGTAGCAACAAAATGTCATATACGATAATGCATAAGCACTTACGGCACTAATTTTCTTCAATTATTCAATTAGGTACAGAGCACGTACGAGCGTGGAAAGGCTGAAAGCCATTTCACGGAACGAACAGAATATCCTACTTTAAAGTAGATAATTAGGCGATCGACTTCAATTACTAGAAGCTTTTAAAAGCAACTGCATTTTGTATTTCAATTCTGCACTGATTGTTAATTAAACCAACTTCTATTCGTTTAGCAGAGTTTTTTTTAATTTTGACATATATTTTATATACTTTTTTAGTTAGAGGACCTGGAGAAAGTTGATTCTTATAAATTGCGTGAACTCAATTCCTTGCAACGTTGGTACGATTTCAAAAAATATATTGTTTTTTCCCAAATATTTGAATAGGTATTGGAAACTTGCTAAAAATATATAAGTGGATAATATATTAATTGTTTTAATACAGATTCATTGTTTTTTTTTTATTATTTCAATATATACCTACGTAGAGAAAAAGAACCCATGTTAACCATTTGACCGTTATATTGTGTTCTGTAAATGAAGTAAACGATTTGATAAAACGGATAAAATTGCAACAAAATAGAAGCAATATACTAGAAGCTAATAAAACTTACATAGAGACAACATAAAATAAGAACATTAACGAAGACTTTAAAAGCAACAACTATAATTATTCTTCACTGCACATATTGGCGGCCGTAAATAGCTCTGAGCAAAAAGTAACTAATATATTATTATGTAGGTATCCTCAGGATAAATTAAATGACACCACATATCATGGCCAGTAAAGAATATAAATTTATTTTACTCTATAATTACTACTTACTATCTAATTTGGTATATTTTAATTTTGTACAACATCGTCTGCGTCAGGTCCATACGCAGACCTCTAGTACCTAATTCTGCCGCCAAGTAATTTATATTAATTTGTTTCGATTGAAGTGTGAGATATGTGGAGATATGACATCTCTGTCCTTCAGAATTGCAACGTACATAGATGTAATATATTATAGGTAGATATTTTATTCTTTATGCAGTAGGTAAATCTATAGTATTGTAGACACACAGTCTATGTCTGCAATTAGATGTGTTACTGAAGACGAGGTATATTTTCATTTACATACCTATACTTAGCTATATATTATTCAATAGATAGATATATATTCTGTTTGCACCCTCATTACTAACTATATTGTTAGTAATAACACTAGTATGACGTGTGTCGTGCTATTGAAGTATAGGCGTTGACGACTGTTCATATCAAGTGGACTATTAATGATATAGTTTACATAAAAATACAGTTACAAATAAATTACCTTGGATTTGATTGAAACAAAAGTATGTTTAGATATCGACGAACTATTGCTCCAGTCTTCTTCTTGACTAGTAATTGGACTAGATTCTACACTATCTAATACTTCTTCTTTTAGTACACCACTAGAAAAGAAAAAAAAACAGTAAATTTTATTAAATAATTAACAGGCCACCCCTGTCATATACACTTTTTTTCGGATTACTCTAATGCTGTTGTCCGCAGCTGGCCTTTACAGTTTCACTGGACAATAGGGGGCGAGTGCAGATGGCACTCCAAACTCGTAGGAGAATTTATGGAGCAACTCCCGCCTGACGGATATGACTTTAGTCTAAGGGAACCTCTATGGGTTCGAACTAATTCGTAATTTCGATCCCTGTTTGAATTGGAAGGGAGATCGATGTAAAGAATAGAATATTATATGGACAAGTAATATAGACTTAATAAATTATAGAATTGACGTAACAGTAAAAATAATATATGAATCTGAGCAACTGAATGGTGATCGATCAATTCAAAAAAATTTTTTTTTTTTTGTAGAGACATTTTTTACTTTTATTATTGAACTAAAACATTCAACAACATGAACATAAAGATGATTAAGAACACTGACCTTAAGGGATGAACTATTAGTAGAACTAAAAATATCATATACAGCTGGTGGGTGTACCAGAACGCATTGTAGAGTTTTCTCCGTACCACTCTCACAGAAGTCAGTCCCATCAATATTGTGATGAGCAACATTGACACGCCGGTCAGGCCGGCTTGACTCACCAATAAAGAGAATGGACTCTGTAAATAAAATTTTGTTTCTAATTCCATTATTGTATATTTCCTTCTTCCATAGACGGCCTTGGTGGTCTAGCGGTTTAGCACACCGCTTTACTTCCGACGTTTGCGGGTTCGATTCCTCGCACGGTTGCTCGCATGAGTAGGATTGTTTGTATCGGTCTGGGTGTTTTCTATTTATGTTATGTATGTATTTACAAAAAATATATATCTGTGTATTTATATCAGTTGTTTAGTAACCATAACACAAGCTTTGCTTACGTTGGAACTGGATGGTGCTGTGGGAATTATTCTTTTATTTTCTCAATTGTAGGTCGCCCTTCCACGATACCAAGATAGTCGGAGTCGGAGGCATGATATTTTTGTCCTCCAGAATGGCAACACTTAAGGGGTATCACGGAGTGTCAAGTGAACCAAGTCACAGGCTGAAACTAGTAATAACTAGTTGTCACGAAATCGTCAATACTTTGTAACACGCTATAAAAGTTTACGAGATACATCTACCTATGTACATGTAATTTATATAATTTACTTGTATATGGTGTAAGGTTACTTCGATAGTTATGTTATGTTGTATTATGGATAAAATTAAAAAATAGTACTAACCTCATCTTTGTACTTAGCAAAGTTGATCTCCTTCATTTCATCGTCATAACGTCTCGAGAAATTCCACAAGTTCACAAAATGAGAAACGGAATGTATCACTGAAAAAAATATACATTTGAATAAATTTTTGTTATGGGTGAAAAGTAAACAAATATATATATTAAAAAAACCAACATCAACAATATTATTACGTAATTTTCTGATATCTGTGGTATTATAAAAGTAATATATAGTGTGGAGGTATCGTAGAAATGTAAATACAAAATTCAATTAGAAATTATTCTAATAAATTTTAATACAAGTTTATCATACGTACATATACTAAAATATTTGTTATTTAATGTATAATAGCTTAAGAATGGCTGTTCTTGGTCCCTTAGGGAAAACCACATAAAACATTCTTAAGGTTTAGTATATACACTATAGTATAGGCTTTTATAATAAAACTATATCTTATTCTAAAATCAAACCTGACTAACGAACAAATACATAAGGCACAGTAATATTAACAACGAAAATTAAAAGTAGCTATACACAATTACATTGGTCAGTCAACATAATACAATACAATACAGAGATGCATATAAAATACAATATAGGTACAAAAAATAATATAGGCTCAAATATTCTTATATACAGTTTGAAATAAGCTCTTAAAATGAAAGCGGTCTCAGTCGGTAAGGGTTGTTTCAGTGCATAAAAGTTAAAAATCCTAAAAAGTGGTAGTAACCATTAGCAAACGTCTCAAGAACTTAATGGTGCACTGAGCACGAGCACTCTATAGACGATTTACAGCTCATATCTCACTTTGTTAATGGAATACTATTTATATCACACTTCAATAAAATTACGTAGTTAGAGGGTAACAAAATTATCACACTAAACATTTTTCTAATAAAAATTAGATCGATCAAAAACCTGCCGACATGTAAATTTACTCATTTTGATGAAATCTTTAATATAATATATATTATAGAGGTATATTTTCTGAGTTTGGATTTTAAAGACTTTTAATGTTGATAGCTCACTTATCACTATATAGGCTATATAGCATCACGATATGCTCAATATGAATGGAGCTGCAATGAAAGTATTGTAAAAATGTGGAAAATCTGACGCAGATGAATTTTCGCGGGTCAGCTAGTTTTACTTTACATCAATTATCAACTGCATTATCCAGTTAAATAATATAAATAATTGAACAAAATTAATGTATTTTCAAATGTAAGAATCAATATTTGCCTTTCGTTTGATAAATGCACTGCCATTCGAATATACCTACCTATATCTATCAATATTAATTGCTATAGATAACATTGTTTACAAACTATAATAGTACCTACTACATAATAATAATTTTATTAATACTTAAGTATTTAGAAATTACTGGTAATACTAACAAGCAAACATCACAAGGGTGATTGCGACTGTCATGTGAAAACTCTTCGCTTTCTCCAGCCAAAAGAAAAATATACTTGGCCACAATTCTGAGAGTACTCGGTAAAGTATTTGGTTGAGTTTCTTGCACAGCGGAAGTAATACTAGAGCGCAACATAAATTGAGTACTGATGCGGTGCCACGAGATATGCATAATCCTAACTGAAACCAATAAAAAATGTATATAATTAGAATACAGAATTGTCCAAACCTATGTAGTATACGCAAGTACTTAGTCATAACTCAAGTATTGTAATAGTAGTAGTACCAACCGGAAGAAGGGGAACCATAGTGGTTGGAATTGATTTAATCACGATGTGTTATATACTCTCATTCTCATTTTATCACTGGTGCCCCGCCAGTGATACCGTTAGAACATGTGGGTGCACCATTCCATCATCATCCGTCTATCAACCTGACCATTACGAAACTACAAAACTCTTCCCATAATAATAGCTGTGGATAATTCACACAACGTAATTTAGACTCAAAGTAAGTTGAGCTTAAGTTATAGGTACTAGACCGTTATTATAAATGAATAGTTTTTTTTGTACATACATAAAATACCATCATTGTGGTCTCCCACGCGTTAATATTAACGAAATAAAAGAAAAGAATATAATAAGCAATGATTGGACAACCGCAAAATAACACCTCATTCAATAAAATAAATAGGTATATGATAAAAAGTATGATTAGGGAACTCTATCAACGTCTGTTACGGTGATAGAGCCCCCTAACTCACCCTAACTAGAACAATGCTTGTAATTTTTTTTTAAGTTATAGCAATGCCCGTTTTACACTATTTAATGTATTGTAGTGTTGTAATAAGTTACTTTAAACGTTATGCTTTATTCCAATATATTTCAAACCAAATAATTATGAACTATTAATATGCATAATACCTAGAGTACGAAGTTACATATTCAGCTAGAGTTCAGAATCTTTTATTGGGTGGATAATGTAAATTTATTTATAATGGTGTCAACAATAACTAATTGATTAGTTGCTCAGAGGTGTCAACACTGGTGTATTTTATTTCACACTTTTGCTGCAAGAGGGCGCCACCTACAAACCTTCCTATACTCATCTTTATATTACATCTATCTGTATTTTGTGGAGTCTATATTGAAATTAATATATTAGAAATCTTACAATTAAATATCTTAAACTAATATCTTTATTACAATTTTGTTTAATATTGCAATTTCTTGAACTACGAATATAGACTACATACTCAATGAAATATATTAACTCAGATATTATGTTTAATTGAGTATATAGTCGTATACCTATTACAATAAACTGTGTTGAACTACAAGAATTAAAAAATATACATAATGCTTTGAATTTCCGTCAGTGACAAATACTTACGGATTCTAATTTACTTAACAAACAGTTCATTGCCAAGATGTCATTATAACTAACTAGATGGCGCTGTGTGAAATGTAAAACTCGCTATGTTTTCATTCTCCTCGTATCTAATACTGCCGAGTCCATATTCTGAACACTGACAACTGAATTAGTCCTAAGGAATGGCAATTAGTATTTTTGAGTCCCGTTTGCTATGAACACATAGTTTTCGGGTAATTTATAAATAAAATCAGACAATATAATGTTAAAAATTATTTGTCATCGTATGCCAATTGACGTCGATTTTTCCATTTGCAAGGAAATAAACATTATAAATACGTTTTTAACGCGAAATAATGAAATATTATTTTTTATTAAAATATCAATACATTTTATATCCAATATATAGGTACCTATATTTTAATATTACTTTATCAATAAGCTGTTAATTAAGCAAGCAGTATTGAATTACTCCAGTAATATTTTTGTCCTTTACTATTAACAATTGTCATAATCTGATTACTTATATATTTAATTTTATTGTGATTTTATTTCAATTTAATTTAATAATTATTTTTGTTGTTATTTATATTTAACGTTTGTTTGTGTCTGTACGTACTAACATTAACTATAAGAAAACTGTAATACTAACAAAATGGGCAAGTAAGCCTGATAATAAATACATTACAGCATAATATCTCTCTTTGAATCATAATACAGGAAAAGAAATATTTTTGAGAATAGGATTTAACAGAAATATATCTTACCCCTAAAATTCTTCTTACATAATAAAATTGTCGTCCATATAAATAAAACTTATATGTACTGTAGAAAAAATATGACACTACTGAGATCCATAATATCTGAAACAAATAAAATACCATAATTAATATTTTTAATTAAAAATTAATGTGATATGTGTAACGTCATACAGTCCATGTTAATGTGTAATATTATTTTATCTGTGACGTTACACAGTATCAATATAATTTTCTACAGTTGAAAAAATACGTTTTTCTATATTATTTATTTAAAAAAAAAGTCAATTTTACAGTTATCACTAAACAGATGAATAAAATTTCTGTTATTTTTTTAAAATAGGTAGTTATCCAGGCCAGCTGTTAATGCAAGCGTGTGCACCATTCCTTTATGATCCATAAAAAAATGTATAGACTTTAGTATAGTATAGATGTGCTATACAACATGTGTAACTTGTTGAAAATTACTCCCCACAAACACCATGGTAACCACTTTTTCTATATCGAACACATAAATAACAGCTTATACAAACAATGTAGTGTGAAATAGAGTGATTATATTTAGATTACAAAACCACGTTCCGCATCTTAATTTACTTTAATACCTTTTATTTTAAATATGTATATAAGAAGAATCTTTATTATTTTTGCCTACCTACATAATTTTATAGTAACAGTTCACTGCTTTTGATTTTGTCTATTAAGGAAGTTCCTGAAAACAAATTTTCTTTCTCTTTCTTCTCTTGTTTCAGATAAATACAAAGTAGAAAGTAACTACTCAATTAATATATGGTTTGGTTTTGTTTGGTTATTATAATTATATAATAAATATACTTGTCGCCCGAAATGGGTAAGTCAGAGTATTTCATTAATTTATTTTGGTATAAACAGTATATATGTATATCTATTATAGTTTTTATTATCACAGTTTTTCACCACTACTACCCTACAACGTTTTCTATTTGTACCTAAGGGAACTCCATATGGTAGAGAATTCCATATGGCATTAAGCTCGCCTTTTGTACACGTGTTTTTGTACACAATAAAGAATAAAAACAAAAACAGACATTACAATTATTATATGTAGATATATATGCCTACTGTCGACTTTTACAGAAGTGGTGAACGCAAGACACACATTTCACTCGGTATGTTATCGGTGTTTCCATCACAGGAATCAACTAGCAATATAAATTGATACATTAAGTTTTTTGAAGTCGATCAACTTTGACATCTCGACGTAACGTTCTCTATCGGCGTAGTAGTAATCACTAGGCCACGACGCTATGTAAATTTATTACTAAACTAGCTGTACCTGCGACTTCGTCCGCGTGGAATTTAACTTTAATAAAAATAGTCTAAGTCACTCCTTATTACATCAGCTATCTGCCAAGAAAAGTCCCGTCAAAATCGGTTCAGCCATTTCAGAGATTAGCCGGAACAAATAGACATTTAAAAAAATTTGCCGTATTTATATGCATATGTAAAAATGCATGTAGTAAAAAACAGTTATTTCAATATTATAAACAGACACTCCAATTTTATTTAGGGGGAGGTCCCCGAGAAACGGACACTTAAGGAATAACAAAAATAAAAAAAACCGTGTTACAGATTAATTTGTTTATTTCTCTTTAATAAGTTCTTTGCTATATAACTAATCAATACAGATATATCATCAGTCCCAAATGTTACTTAAAATATACTAGATAATAAAGAATAATTAACATAGAAAAATGGACGTCTTCAAAAAGGGAAGAAAGACGGACAGCGAACTTTTCGTTCATTTTTAAACTTAAACATTATTTAATAAACAATTGGTAAAAATACAATATCTATTATATAATTTATTCAGAAGTAGCTTTTAAATTGTTGAAAAATCGTTCAACTTGAGGCTTATTAAAAGCAACAGCTCTCATTAGACTTGTTAACTCAGGTCTTCTCAAGCTAAGATCTGTTATTATATGGCCTTTCACGAAATCATATTAACAGCACTTTTCTTAGCCATATTGAAGCGATGTTTCAGTTTTAATTGCTCCGCAAGATCGAAAGCCAATTTGAGAAATTCTTTTCTAGTTAAAGGCATGCACCTATTTGACATATCCACCACGTGCGCAATTAGAGCTTCTTCGTACTCCTCGGTAAAAGTTGGGTCATATCTACCTTTTTTGAGTGGTAATATTATTTCTCCTCCTCGTTTTATTTTTTTAATATAATCAAATAGCGCACTTTTTGGCACATTGTAGAATACAGAAGCCTTTCTCAGGGATATTTTTTTTTGACATCACTTTATCAATGGCCTTCTTCAATATTTCATGTTTGATGTTCTTCTCACATCTCGGTTTGGGTGTATCCATGTTGAATCTAAAATCAAAAAACAAAAATAAGAAATTAAACAAAAACTAACTTGCTCTAAAACTGTCCGGTGTTAGGGGACTTTAAGAGTGTCCGAACTTAGGGACCCTTAGATGCATACAAGAAAAATTATATTTAACATTGTGAGTTATGAATCACATAAAAACGCATGATTTATATAAAATTAGTACCATAGCAATAATAATTATTAAGAATGATTAAAATTTCATACTTTAAATACTGTTTATTAGACTACATATTATTAGTTAAAACAAAATTTTTACTCACCTCAAAATTTATACCACGCTCCGCGACGAACAAGTCAGCACTGGCTGTTGACACTCCCCCCCCCCCATTTCACGTGAGAGAAGCTGGCTTACCTAAGCATGAGCAACCAATTGGCGCGCTTGTTCGTACAGATTCAAGTTATAGGATAGGGGACTTCCCCCTATATGTATAGATAGATAAATATTTGTTAATATGTTGATTATTTATTGTTAAAAATAAAATTATTGATTGATAGCTTATTGCTTCTACTAGTTCATATTTTTAAGGAAAATTCCCGAGGTTGGTTTGGTACTGTAATAATATAACATAACAATTGATTTTTTTTTTATTGCGGAACATAATACAGAATTATTCCAGGGGCGACAAAACTGTAAGTTGTAGCATGAATCCATGCATTTCGCTGCGTCGGAAACAAGGAAGTGTAAAGCTGTGTATATAGGCACTTCAGACTCTATTCAGCCCTTGTGCGTATCACGGCAGTGTATTACGGCTTTGACAGCGGCGCCGGGCCTACATCCATTGAACGCTTGAATGCAGCCGATGTCAGCCCGGCTGGAGTGTGGGCCCGCATTAATTAATGAATATCGAACACTATCATGTGGATTTCATTTGCATGCAATGACATGATCTATTTCATCTTTCCAGCATAAATTACTGAACTAGATACGATGGATAGTTTTCAATTGACTAAGGAAGAAGGTTCCTAATACAACTGTATTTTTGTGTACCTACGTCTTAGGTTTAGCAGTTATACTTCAGATGAACGCGGATTCGATTCCTCGCACGACGCAAACATTTGTCCCAGACAAATATTTGAGTCGTGCGTTGATCTAGGTGTTCTCTATATATATTATAATGTATTTGCAAAAAAAAATGTGTGCATTCATTTGTATACGATGTCTAAGAGGAATTAGAATAAGAAGTCCTTGTTTTTGTTATTCCATTAACCATGTGGAATTTAGTACATAATCTTCTTCTTACTTAATACTATAAACGTGGAAGTTTGTCAGTGTTGATTGATGGATGGATGTTTGTCACTCTTTCACGTTAAATCTACTGGATGGATTTTAAATCAACTTTGCACTAATATAGCTTTTACGTCGAAATAATACAAAGGCTATAAATTTAACTCAGGCGAAACCACGAGCATAGCCAGCAAATATAATAATAGGGTTATACAGATCATGGAAATAGTATTGAAACAAAAAATAAAAGGCTGTACACAAATGAAGCTGACTGTACACGATGGTAATAATTTCCCAGTAAGGCTTGAATTAATGCCTAGGTAATAATTGTACGCTGCAACTCGGCTGCACCTGAGACCCTACAATTCACTCCGCTCCTGTAATGCAGTGCAGTTATGTACTTATCAAATACTAGGTAGGTACATATACATTACTACCGACTCTTGTGTACTTGCTACACCTAATAATTTATTTCACATTTTTCTATAAAAACAAACCCGTTTACAATGTTAGTATTAGATCAACACTCCAGGAAATATAAAGATTAAAAAAATATATAATAAAAAGAGAAAATGCTTAACCACAGATTGGCAAAGATCGCGTAACTGATACGAAGATAAAAATACATTTGAAATAAGAACCTCTTTTGAAGTCAGTTAAAAATAAGTTCCCATCAAATTTAAAATGATGCGTGATGTGATGGTTTATACTATTTGATACAACACATTAGCACTTTAAATTGTCGGATTACATTTTTATTTTTGTATGTGTTATCGAGAAAATAAAATTTCTTTCTTTCTGTATAAAAAGATTTTAACCTCTTATGTAGAGCTAACTCTACCATTCCAGTAACATATAGACTTATCTCTACCATTCCAGATAATTATTTAACACACAGACTTATCTCTATGTTAGGTAGAGGTAAGTTTTTAAAGTGCTACACAGGTACACACATTGTGGAAACCACATTACATTATTAGGGTTTACGTAATACCGGGCAAATTGTTATACCATATAAGTTGTCTTTTTTAAATTGTTGCAATTATACAGGGTCTTCTGGATGATAATAGAATAGTGCAGCCACCTGCGCTAACGATTTATTCTGGCGGGGCACGGGGGCTGGAACATGATAAGATGAGCATGAGGTCAGGTCAGTTAGCCCATCGTGATAAATTCATGGTGAATTTGTCACGATGGTTTCCAGAGGGAACCACGTCGGGTTAACCTGACATAGTAAATTGCAAATAATGGGGTTACTAGTAACAATCTCCTTCACTCAATTATATAGGATTAGCCCTAATTGAGATTAATAATAAATATATAATAATATCTAGTGTAATCAAGTTCCCTTAAATATTTTTAACTATTTATACTAACCGCTCTGTCAGGTAGATCTTATCTAAACTAATATTACAAAAGAAGGAAGACTATATTTACTGTTTGTATAATATATTATAATAATTTAGATATTTTTACAAAAAATTGCACCTATACGAAGTTTGAGTCACCTAATATTTCATATCGTTATATTTCATAAATCTACTACGTCATTCCTTATCGCCAATCCCAAAAAAACTAATACGGAAATCTCCATACGATTTTACATGAACAAACAAAACGCTAATAGTCTCTGATGAACCATTTATCTTAACGGCTACTGTGATGATCAATCATATTTATATGTATATTTATAGTGTAAACTCATTTAAATATAGTGACACAAGAATTGGCGCCGTTACGTCAAAATAATGTCTAGTATAGAGGGAAAAATTAGAGATTTGTATTAGATTAGTCATGAACTGGTGACTGTCCATTGATGGTGTACCTATAACAAAAAGGTTGTTTGTACCATTGTTGTAGAAATATGTAGTAAAACTATTTATGAAGGGATAAATATTTTAATGGTAATGGTAGACAGTGAAGTGACATATATATAATTTTGTTTTAATTAAAGAATACAAAAATAAACTTTAAATATATTAATAACAAAAGAGTTTCTCAACAGCCATGCATGTATGCCTTTATTGAGAGATCTAAATAACTATGACGGTTTATATACGAGCTTGAGTACAACTGATTTTTGTCCAATTTTATATATAAGAGTTTAATTAATTATAGAAAGAGCGGATTTTGTTTTGTACCAAGTAAACTACGGAACTATAAGTACTGCACCGATTTTACAAATTCTTTAAATAATGTAGATGTAGTGATATGTAAATGTAGATTGGAGTGACAGACATAAACTATATTATATTATTACATACATAGGTATAAAACTCACAAATTTGTCGCACCCAGGGGAATCCGGGACAGGGCACTAGTTAATTCATATTTCGATTTTCCATTACCCTTGTATGTAGATCAGCGTTATTAAAATTTATACATTTAAAATCACCCAGAAATAGAGCACAGATAAGATAATCGCAGGTTGATTTCCAATCACTTATATCAATGATACCTACTATACATAGACATATATAGATACTACAGCGAAATTTGCAAGTTGAATTATAGAAATTTAAATCTATACCTACTAATATTATAAAGAGGTAAAGTTTGTATGTTTCTTTGTTCAAGACAATCTCTCTAAATTCTTTTACCATATCCTATGTGCTATATGACATCACGATACGACCCATAGGAGTGGAGCAGCAACGGTATTTTTTTAATGAATGATAATGGGACCACCACCAATACCACCACGACCACCAGGGAAGCATGGATAGGATGAACGTGATGTCAGGTCAGTTAGTCCATCGTAATAAATTCACCGGGAATTTATCATGATAGTTTCCAGAGGGAACCGCGTGGAGGTCAACCTAACATGGTACATTGCTAGCAATGGGAACATCAGTCCACATTATTACCATCCCCTTCCCCTCAGCAGTAACGGTTAAAATTACCCAAAAACATGTATGACGGAATTGTTTTCCTTTAAAAGTTATTAAAAAAATATAAGCTAAGGTTAACTCACTATAACTTTTTTTATTCTAATAAAATTTCTTCTAAAATAATGCATTATTTACAAAAGTGTTTTTATAAACATGATATTAATCATTATCTAAATAAATACGTTAGTGGTGAACAGTTTAAACAAATATTTCCGACTTCCATGAGATTTTACACCCAAAAAAAACGATCTAACTTAACGATTAGTATAGTATAGTAGAAAAAATTTCATTTTCTAGTCCATTAAAATATCATTTTTATCTGAACAATTGAATTAAAACATTTTATATACTATTTTATTTGTTATTTATTTATAACAGAAAACATGTGTACCATTTTACTGAAGAAACGATGACATTCACAGAAGTATAAAACTGTGTCGCGAATATAGACGTCCTCCGCCGAGTTTATATAATTCCAAAAAATACATGCTATAATATAAAATTTGTAACAAAAATTTTAAATTCAAACAAAAATTAATATTTGTAGACAAACGTGATGTCGTTTACCCACATCATGTTTGTCTAATAAATTGATAAAATCTAATAAAATTAATTATTTAACGATAACATATTTAATTTATATAAAATTCAAATTTAGTATCAAGTATAATATTTAAACCATTTATATAGTAAGTTGACATTACAATTTGCAATAGCAAGTTTGTATAGGTATGATTCATTCTTGTAGAGTCGAACCTGACTTGAAACTTCTCTTAAAATAAGTTTAATAGTAGTAGTAGAATGCAGACACATTAGACACACATTGTATCAAAAAAAAAAAATACGTAAGTAGGCAAAATATCTACTACACAGATTAATTGTTTTATCAGATTGTTGACATCATCGTACAATTCTTGGAAACACGTCTCGATGCGACCCTTTGGTAGGTCACCAATAGGACTTTACTTTCATTTATTTCATAAAATATCTTAAATTAATAGGCACTTAACTTTTGTGTATATCGCTTACAATTATTTGCACAAAGTTGGTTTAACTATAATATAACAAGTAGTATATATAATATGTTAAATAATTCATAAAGGTTTAAAATAAATAAAATTAAGTTTTAATTTTTTATTATTAATATTATTTCAAACTTACCAAAATAAATCGCCTCTGCAAAAAAACATAACTATTTTTTAAAAGTGTTGTTAACCTCATTCTTCTTGTAGCAATATTTATTCTAATTACATAGTTTTGAATAAAAATAACGTTTTTAAATTTCTAATTTTGAAAATAGAATTTCCCGCATTTTTATTTTTACTACTCGATAGCAAAAGTGTCAAGCGTGTACCGAGCGGCCATGCTCACCGTATGCGAGCCAGAATGTGCAACATGTGACTAATATTACTGTGTCTGGCTGGCTGGACTGTAGTGAATACCGCTAGCGGCTATAGGCGGATGTTAGTCACCGCGTTGTAAGCTCGCTTAGATTTCATATACATACACACTATTCTGTTTCTTTTCGCTAGCAATAAAATCATGTATGAACTTTCATATCAGCACCAAATTTTACCGCGCGTCGCCTGACGCGGAGTGATGAATGATGAACCATTTTTATTATGAAGAAAACAATGATAATTCCAGATATTCCTAATAGACTGGTATTGCTTTTAGGGACTGATTTATTTATGATTTTCATATGTGCTTACCTATAGTGTAAAATGAATTTAACAGTATTAAATTAGATATATAGGTATATATAGGTATATATTTTTATAAATAAAATATATGTAAATAAAAAATATATTGTTTAATATACTGTATCACTACGAACAATAATTTAGTTTTTATCAAAATACAATATATATCATTTTTAATTGTAATAAACCAAAATAGAGATAAATAAAATATATGTAAATAAAAAATATAGAATATAATGTATCACTACGAACAATAATTAGTTTTCATCAAAATTTATATCTTGGTTCTTGGAAAAATAAAAAAAGTAATGTCAGTGTTAAATTGTCAATGTCATAGTTGTGTCACTTCTTTCACTCAATTATCTTCACTCTGTTTTGGTGGGAATGTAAACAAGTCTTACCTACTAAATATTTATACATAGTTTTATTTATTATTTACTCAATTATGAAGTAACTTATTTTGAATATTGTATCGTATCACAGTTATTGTTTCAATTTATAATATTACTTACACATTTCCAAATAATATGGAACCACCTTCACCATGGAAAAAACCAAACGAAGTAATGCAACTACACAAGTTGAAAAAGCGAAAAAAGGCCTTACAGGTAATGTGGTGAATGTATATCTTGTGCTGAAGTTCAGGACATCTCCTACTTGTAAATCATAGAACCATAAGTACGATTTTTGATATTCAATAGTAATTTTCTATCGTCAGGACCGCATGAAACAACCAACAGCGTCAAACTGTGAAGAAACGAAATCGAATGGAAACCAAGAAGATTTAGATTTTTCCAGACTCATCAATGGAGACAAAAGGAAAAATCCCTTTTCTAAGTAAGTGAATGTGAAACTTGGAAAGTAAACAATATTAGACAATTAAACTTTGATCATTTCGTACTAAATAAATCACGTGGTTTTAATCATAGTTTACAACTTTGCGACTTTGCTACTTTAGGAAAATTCTTCAGTTTGTTACTTTAACTAGCTTTAGTCTTAGTATATCCTTTATAACTAACCCTGTATTTACTTGTTAACTAATTCAGAAATAACTTGGAGCAGAACAAGAAACCCAAACTCAACATTGACCTACCACTAGATGAATCCAGTGACAAAACACTATTTGCATTACTAAAGTTACCTTCCAAAGTTGAGAAACCTTCAGACAATACTCTGAAACTGTCCACCTTCTCAAACTTATTACAGAAGTTCACAGCTGACCACTCCGTGGAAAAAGTGAGTGTATTTTGATTTTTACTTTTTTATCCAAATGCCTCAAAACCAAAGATCCAATAGATTTTCATGAAATGATAAACAACAAGTTACCCTAGTAGTAGATGGTCTGATGCTCAAAGCAGAACTAATATGAAGTTAATAACGTTATTGAATATTTCAATTAATATCTTGATGGTTTAAATTTATTTTATTGAATTAATTACATATCATTTCAAGTATGTTAAAACAGCATTTTGACTGATCAATAATTATCTAAGATTGGCAGATGATCTAAATTAAAATATAACACTAAAAACTTACTTAGTGATAATAAAACTAAAAAGTGTTTGAGTAATATTATATATAACTTCTTTCCACCATTTTGCTCTAAATTTAGAAAGTGAAAAAACAAATACATGCTAGTTCAAATTTTTTTTTACACAAATATAGTATAGTATTATTGCTTCCATTTAGCTCTTTATTTGATAATTTTGTAAGTTTAAGTAAAGTAAATATTTACTTTATAAATAGACATTCATAGTTGTTATTTTGATTCTGAGTAGTCATGCCTTTTTTAGGAAACAGTGGAAAAAAAATCCAAACACTTGTTTATTGATTGGGCACTAAAAACTAAAGCAAGATTGATGTCTCCCAAGCCATTTGCATGGACATCCAAGTTGAAAGCAAGTGAAGAAGCTTCAGGAATAACAGGGTATTTATTTTTGTTTGTTATGGAATATTCTTTGGACCAAACCTGCTTGGTCGAGTCGAGCTTTTAACTTTACAATGAATATTAATCAAATTATCAAAGCAATAGATGTATCTAAACATAAGGAAGTTTTCTATCAAAGCAATGAAACAAGGAGTATTTTTGTAGTAGTATATTATCATTACATAGTATAAAACAAAGTCACTGTCACTGTCTGTCCTGATATTGTTATATATGATTAAATCTTTAAAAATACCCAACAGATACAGATTTTAAAGCAGTTTTTTTTAATAGACAGAAATATTCAAGAAGTTTTATATATATAATACAAGTACACCCGTGCAAAGCCGGGGCCAGCTATAACTGTGCTTTTAATTTATTTTTTAATAATGCAATGACCATTATTAAAAAATAATCATCAATCTGTTTTTTATACAATAGTCCAATTTGAATGCTCTTTTTATTCAATGGTTTGTATTCCTTTACATTCATGATGCTGGTCCAATGAGTTAGTTCTGAGGTGCTGTCTGCAAATTTTTGCTAGTTCCTGAATGTCACATTTTTTATTTACATATACATAAGCTTGTTACTTATGTATTCTGGAATATATTGCTATTATTTCAAATTTACATTTTTAATTTTCCAATGGTTAAGATCTGGATACCCGGCAAGAATGGCATTGGACTGAACGGGAACAAAATTCATTTGAGACGGCAAAGCGATTATTGACTAACGTTAGTTCATTATGACGTAGCTAAACCTATAACACTTACTTGTGATATCATTATTATGATTGCGGATATAATGGCCTAGTAGTTTATGGAATTTCTACCTTAAAGGTAATAATGCAAATAATCATTATTTGCTTGTAGACAGTGATTTCAGTATTACAGAGTCCATAATGCTCTTGTGTAATAATAATGTCTTATATATATATAATTTCTGTTTCTGGTTGATTTGAATTCAGTTTTATTTTATACAGAAATTATTTATGCATATTAGGTTTGTACGTTGTCTCGACACAACTTCATCGCCCACCTTGGACACGTCTCCCCGCGCGCTGTTCCATCAAACTTGCCTGTACTGGCAACATCCTCACCTACCATGGCTAGAGTTATACCCGCGCTCGTCTGGGAAAGTTGCGGCAACCAATTTTATGGCTACAAATGAAGAAGTAAAAGAAGCTTTACATAGAGAGTGGTGTGAGAGCTTTAGGTCTTTATTCCAGGTAATATTCTTTCTGCAATATCTTTCTTCTATGTTAATCTTGGTAGTAACTAAAGTGACTAGCTTTATAAGCAATCAATGTGGGACACTCTTATAATTAGGAGTAGTTGCAAGGGCACACAATCCACAAGAGGATTGTGATTTCGTCTGTGGCGTAGTTAAATTAGAGACAGACAATACAACTCGAATATTGTTTGCACATATTACTTACAAACAGTCAGCTTGGTTTACAGGAGTATTAAAGAGAAATTTAATTTGTAAAGATATGAATAATTTGCCTAGTTTCTACATGCGTCGTTATGTTACGTTATATATTGCACATTCCAATATAAAAATTAATACAAAACATAATATCCATAACATTGCAAAATTTTTTTTAAATATTGTGTATCGCGGACTGTTTTGCTCATATTGAACTGTAGAACATAACTTTGCTGTATTGTCAATAATATTAGTAGTTTTGATACGGATCTTTAACTAAATGTGTTTTATATATAAGTGATCATCTATTGGTAGATATTGTTTTATTTTAAAAATGTTTTATTGCCTATGCTTATCAGGGCTAAAGTAGGATTCTAATGCTAAAAGGATTTTTCAAATCAGCCCCGTAATTTCGAAGTCTATACAATACAACCATGCAATCAACTGTAGCCTCTTTGATTACAATGCAGGATTGCAACTGTCATTACGGATGGTTACGAAAAATGCGCGGCGATTGAAAGGCCTACAATGTAACAAATAATACTAAAATAATGGTTACAGCTACTACGCGCACGCCACTGTCCGTATTTCTACGTGTGCGCTAATACATTCACATGTCTGTTCCGAGCGGCGGGGCTCTGTGGAATATCCGAACCCTGCGTTCTCATAGCGCCAACAACTAGAGGCTTCAGACAGACATTACGGCAAGAAGGTAAGTAGGTTTGAAATAACTTATGTAACGTATACATGTTGTTCATAAATTATTAGTATCAACAAATCACATCCACCAACAAATACTAACAGGGTATTTATTTTTGTTTGTTATGGAATATTCTTTGTATTTTTGTAGTAGTATATTATCATTACATATGATTATATAAACAAATCAGTTTTTTTAATAGACAGAAATATTTACCTTCACATGAAGCGCTTATAGAGCCCAAAATTATGTGCCCAATACCTAAACACTATATTTCCAAGTATCATAAATTATATCATGATGAGTATATATTTTATTTCAAACATTTCAAAATATGAAGGCAAAAGTTGTGTGTAAAAATCATTTATTCAATAGGTATTCCTTTACATTCATTTGGTCCAATGAGTTATGAAGTCAAATTTTTGCATTGTAATTTTTTATTTATTCATATTATTAGTTCTATTACACAGTAATAGATGGTTGTGTATATTTAGTATGAAGTATTTTATCAATCACCATTGAGCATTCAATTTATCGAACAAAATTTACAGTACATCAAATATTTTTAATTACTTATGTTACGTCGTCGATGAGGGAGCTAGAAGCTCCCGAAGCTTACTCTTTTTTTGTAAGTTATACGTTATTTTGTAAAAATGAACGCTTAAAGTTGTTAATGTGTGTGATGTGTGTTAGACGACCTCGGTGGTTTTACGTTACGATGGTCGCGGGTTCGATTCGTCGCACATTTGTATTTATGAGTATGATTGTTTGTATGATGAGATAATGAAATGACGAAGTGTGATTTGTCCTGCGATTATTATTATTATTATGTGAGAAAATTAAGTACAACATTTTTATTTGCTAATATTTTACTTAGCAACGATGGTCTAGTTATGCTAAAATTATTCCTATCCAGATGTAGAGTTCACAATGCCACTACGTCCTGACAAGAAAAAATTCAACACTTCCGACGAGGACCGACCTAAGAATTCCTCATTCGACAGTTGTTATGACACAATGGATGACACGAAGTTACCTCAGGAGTCGCAGTTAAAAGAGGACTTTTCAGGAGATGAAGAGGATCCCGACCAGTTTCTTTCACAGCTGGGGCTAGAAACACACGTTATAAAGAAAATTAACAACTCACAGGTAATAGGGCTATTTTTTCTATGAATAGTGAATAGTGCAATAGAAAATTTTAAAAAAATTGCAATATCTTCATGAGAATACTTTGACTTATCTATTGAGATAATAATACTAGAGTATAATTAATTGAATTAACATGACATGTCTCTATTACTACTTTTTTAACATTACAATATATATAATATACAAAACATTACACTTTTCTGATTGTAAGTAGCTTTGACGTAGTCTAGTGTTTTGAGTAGTCATGCTCACTAAAATGTCCAGACTTGTGGCCGCGTGGTGGGCCGGGTCATTGGTTATACGTTAAAATATGGTCGAGCGCAGTGATGTGTGTGATGTGTGGCTCATCCGTTACTCGTGAACGGGTGCTGCTTGTAGGGACTGGTCTGCTCTAATCACTATGACTGATTTCCTCTTATTAATTGTTTAACCAGTGGGTTATATATTCAATATTTTTTCTATTTGAGTATTTAATTGAATTAGTGCTAATTGGTGGTTTGTATTGACACACTTAAACTTAAAAATGTAAAGTAATAATAAAATTATTTAAAAGAGCAACACGCAAGTTTCTTGCTCGTTCTTCTTGTGATGAGACAGCTTTCCGAACGAGCGGTAGATTAAAAAATGTAATGACTATTCAAAAGTGCTTCAATGTAAGTTTATTTGAATAAATGATTTTCTATTCTATTCAATATATATATTCTATTCTGACTTGCACATGAGAAATTAAATGAAAAATTTTTTGGTTCTACTTTTTGTTTTATTTATTTATACAAATAGTTATTAGTAATTCTTACAGTGCTTGATAGTGGCTTAGTATACCCTTTCCGACTAACTTACTATACAATATATACAATTGTATACTTAGCTTTCTTTTTGATCTAAGATACAAGGTTCTATATTATAATATTGTCGTTAGGCGCGCCTAACCCAGAATGCAGAGAGCAATGTGGATAGTGCGGCGGAATCATTGGTGGTGGTGCGCGGTGCGGACGCTCAGGCGCTGTTCGACTTCCTACTGAACTGCAAGTCGCTGGCGAGTACCACCGGGCCGCTCGCGGCTGTGCCACCAACACTGTTGGCGCCCACAGCCTTCCACGGCGCCACGCTGCAGTCTTTACATGTGAGCATCACGTTGTTGTAATTTTAGTTTATATTAATATTCATAATTTAAGAGCCGCGCTCTTGTCCATACTTTTCCATCAATATCTATTTCCTTCAATAACATTATTCATAAGTTCATCGAGTCGTATCAAGTGCCCCAATATTTTCCCTGCCTATTTTCAATAATATTTATTATCTGTCTCTTTATTTTAAACCTTTGCAGTTTTTCTACATTTCTTATTTTATTTTTCAAACTCCTTCATTATTCTTTGTTAGAAAGATCGTAAGTTTTAAAGTGAAAAATATTTTGAATTTATGTCAAAATAACTATATAAAAAGTCTAAATCTTTCCAGCTAATATTAACAACATTCACCAACACCACATTTCTTCTAGAAACTTCCAGTTTGTCCCTTTTCCTTTCGAGTGAATATATAAAGTAGAAATTTTAATGTAGACTATTTGAATTTGATTTATTTTTGCAGTTGATTGCTAGTTTTTTAGTTAAATGACTGGCTAAATCTCGATATGACACTTTAAAGTGTAACTCAACTACTACCATGTATTGTCTCAATTTAAGTTTCGAAAATGAAAGTGATGATTTAATTCTTAAAATCAAAATAATAATTATGAATTCTTTTTTTATAGGTTCGCGAAAACATAGTACATTCCGATAGCAAAAAATACTACTCAATAGAATTAAGGGGACCTATATTGCCGACTACGGTGCATACATTGTTTAATGTTCTGAAGAAAAGTTCAACGTCGCAGTTTAGCGCTACGTTTGCTCACCAACAGCCTACGCTTGCTTTCTCTTGGGTTGCCAAGAACATTGCAGAAGGTATTTTATTTTATAAAACAGATCATTTCTATGCCCTATAGCACTAGTCATCTTGTTATAGTTCAATACATAATTAGCTTTTCTTATGTATGCAAATAAATAAATGTGATAATTTATTTTAAAATAACAATTTTTCACTAAACGCATCTGAAAGTATATACGGTACTTACAAATACATATATGTAAATAAAAAAAGTCGTACGTCTGTTCCTGCTTATCTCTGACATGACTGGGCCGATTTTGACGGTACTTTCACTCGCAGATAACTAATATAATGAGTAACTTGGCTACATTTATAAAATTATATTTATTTTAATAATTATTAAAGTTCCACGGATGATGTTGCGAGCGAGTAGCAGCTAGTTACTACTAAATTCACTGAAATGAAATGGCCCACCCGGTGATATGCTAAATTATATCTATGACATGACCACCGTACTCTGTAATTCTACTATCATAAATAAATTATAGAGTACAGTAGTGGATAATCTCAGCCTTTAAACCGAAACACAATATTTAAACAATAATAATAATCACAATTCAATCATAAATGCAATAGAAAATTGGGTTCCATCTGAGTAGTAGTCTTCAAGTCTCTAATTGATAATAATAAAACTGATTTAAATAAACATTACTGATGTTGAGCTGCGTTCTTACATAACTACAAAATCCTAGTGGAAGTGTACAAATCAACATAAGTCCTTGTACCACCGCAGCTAAACTTTGTTTATATTGACTTCATTACCCTTCATAGTACAATAGTAAAGTGTATTATATGTCAATAGGTTCCTGCATAACCACAGCGAGAGGATTCTGACGATAAGTTAGAAATTCTCTGTTCTTACTTCAACATCTGTTTCAGATGAATCATCAAAAGAAAATGAACCAAACCATTTCACCAAAGCATTCAATAAAGAAAACTTATCAGACTGTGGCATTAATGAAGAAATGTTGCAACATTTCTGTTCTCCAGATCCAAGTATTGTAAAACCTCTGGATAGCGTTAAGTACAATACAGAAGACGATACTTATTCTTGGTGAATTTTACTATAATGTTTGTGTATATTATACATAGATATAGTAGGAATAAGCGAAATATAAATTAAGTATCTTATAATTTTTGTTTGTACTGTGTGTGAATGAATTATGATCAATTAAACAATATTTTTGTATACTTTTGTCCTTTTATTTGTAGTCTCTGTCATATAAATAATAACAACATAATCACTTAATTGTATGGTTTATTAATTTTTCATTTTTGGTTGATTAAAAATAAAGAATTCATAGTTCATAAGTCCACAATCACTTACACATAACAAGATTCATACAGATCAGGATGAAATAAATAAAATTGTGAGAGTTCTGCTTTAAAATGACGTATATGTTACCTAACTGCACTAATCACTAAAGTTATCACTCCAAACCCGAGGTGGAACAGGAATCTTGGAAAGCTTACATCTAACATATTCTTCTAAGTGACCGCTATCCACTCACTGTAACAAAATATTCATATTATTACTACAAGCCATTAAAGAATATAAACCTATAGTACAAACTAATACATAATAGGTTAATTGCACAAGAAATCGTCAATTGCCGAGTTATAGTAAGTAAACTGTGACATGAAAATACTAGATTATTTATTGTAGCCACTCAACTCAGCAAGGCCAGAAAACAATCACATCTCTTGTCAGATTTTACTCATTCTTATTACCTTTCAGTCTCCAAAACAACAATGCATGCTTAAAAAGAAAGATAACCAAGTAGAAACAATTATATTTGCACATGTAGGATACTTTGGATAGTAAATTAATATAGTAATTGAAAAAAAATCTTAAGAATATGGGCTAAATATTTTTTTATTATATTAATATTTAAAAATAAATTATAAATATATAAATAAATAAACATACCTGTAAGTGTGTCAAGTTGGAATAAGATGTAATAAGTTATGCAGGCTTATGATTTCTGTAATAGAAAAATTACTATTAGTCAAAGTAAACTATTATTTAATTAATTTGTTTCAAAATTAAATACCTAATATATATAAACTAGTGTTAGACTCAATAGAATTTATTCAATATCTATATAGGTGAACCACTATAGTATATTACGATATAAGTGCATTATGTATAAAACACATGAGGCGAAATTTCAGCCCGTGTCCAGGTTTTTGGCATAAGGCGTTGAGGTGATATATAGTTGTTGTTGGCTTCCGAATTATGTTTTAATATCTTTGTTTTTTTTTTATTTTAAATAAACTCAGTAATAAAACTGTTGCATTCGCGCCGTTTTAAATGTGTACGCTGCCAGAAATTGTATCAACAGCCAGCTGATTTGAAATCATATTAGGTAAATTTAGAACTATGAACATCTAAAAACAACTACAGAACTTTAATATATGTTGTACCTATTATAAAATGAGACTTCTGTCACTAAGCGTGTATGAATGATCTTACATTAGAAGATCCAGTGGAGGCGGGCTGCCCGGGCACGGAGTACTGCGGCCGGAAGTTTGAGAAGTTGGCGGCGGCGGCAGCGGCCGGCGAGAAGCCGGGCAGGCTGCCGCCCGACTGGAACCCGCCAGGGAACTGGGGCATTTGCGCTACAAAACACAAATATAGGTTACAACAACCCTTCATGATTTTTAGGTATGCGGGTATATTACAATATCATAATATTTAATCATGTCTCCATTTTTGAGTCATATAATAATAATAAATAAAAATCCCTAGACAATTAACTTAACGCCATCTAGTCCCACCGTAAGCAGAGCTTATGTTATGGGTACCAATAGACAAGTAATACAAATACTTATATATATTTGCAAATACATACATAATATACATAGAAAACACCCAGACCGATACAAACAGAACATATTCATGAATACAAATGTTTGCATTTTAATGCGAAGATGACAATCCCATCTTACTTATCAACATGAAACACACGCGCGATTGAATATAAAAAATGTTAAATACAATGCCCTCACGCTTATGTGCGCCAGCTTTTTCTGCGCTAAATCGTGCACTCTCCTAATCGCGCGTGTGTCGTGTAGGCAGCTAATGCAATATACATATCATTTTTTTTATTTATTATTACATATATTCGTGACCATGAGACATGATATACGAGTAACAACATACCAGCGGGCACAGGATTGCCAGCGGTGGCTGCGAGCCGCGATAGTATAGATCGCTCGGACATCTGCAGCCGCTGAGCTACGGGCGGGATGCGCGCCAGCGTCGCCGGCAGTCGGGACACGTCCGATTTCATGTCCGACAACAGCTCCTCCAACTGGTTCAGCACCTGATTGTACATTGTTATATGACCCATTAAATATAATCTATTTTTCCATAATTAATTCCTCCTATATTGTCTTTAAGTAGCACAGATAATTATATAAAATACAGAGTGAAAGCTTTTCACCCATATTAATTTTGTTGTTGTATAAAAACACTAGGCAATAAAAATGATCTTTATTTAGATTTTGCAACCAACCAACTCTGGACTACTCATAGTATAGCCATAGTCTAAAATGAGACAAGCTATGGGTATTAAACAACTGATAGACATAATTAAATACTTTTTGGATTTGCATATATAATACCTATACCTATATATTACAGAAAGTCTGAAGCCAATACATATATACTAATGAATACAAATATTTTTGTTCTGTGGATATCCAATCCGCGACCACTGTAAAGTAAGGCAGTGGCCTAAACCGGTACACAATTGAAGTCCTTAATACTGTCGATAATATAGTTTAAATCCTTATTCTATTATATTTTTTTCATATTATTATTGCAATTATTTGGCATTAGGGAATAGTACATCCAATAGATATGTGGAGGTCAAAGAATATTAATGAGGTATCAGTTACCTTGTGTAGCACCGCGTTTGCGGGCTTGTTCCCAGCTAGCGACTCCTTGCTGAGGTGTTGGTGGGACTCGGCGAGACATTCGACTTCGGCGAAGCGCGCATTGAGCGACATGGCCGGATGGTTAGGGTCCTGGGTCAGGTTCAGGTACGCCGCTCGTCGCAGTTGCTCTTCAATAACCAGCGCTTGTTCCAGAAGCTTTTAAGAGGATAATGTGGTTGTAAATATTTAACATCAAACATGTAAATAAATGTAGTGCTTGGAAGCATGAAAGGTCCTTCATGCTTCCAAGATTGCAAATAATGGTAGCTTGAAAATAAAATTTTTAGAATTTCTAATTAGTATTTATTTATTCCACGACCTGCAGAGATAATAGACTATTATCTAAACTTCATATCAGTGCCGTCCAGTAACTACATGTAATGTAGATGCAATTGATTGGCAATTATCTACTATTTGAAAAGAAGTAAAAGTAAAGGGATTTATTGTATAAGTTCGTTCCATCAACTCAATCTATGTTTAATATCAAAACATCTGTATATTAAAGATTTATCTGTCTATCTATCTTTAATAAGATATCTGTATATGTATGAGACGATTGTTCCCTATGGAAACAATATAAAGTACAAACCTTAAAGCGCCTCGCGAGGAATTTATTTTTGATCTCCAAGAAGTTGCCTTTGCCGACGTCCATCTTGAAGGGTTCGTTGATGATTGCGAAGCGAAGGTCGTTCTGTATGTCCTGCCAGCGGCCGTAGCCGTGCGTGACAATACCAGCCAGCAGCCAGTAGTCGTGGCGACGGTGCCAGATCTCATACTCGCGGCCAGGTGCGGCTGCTCGCTCCTCGTTCAACCACAAAGTGTGGAGCTCGGTGAAACCACCATCAGCGATGTTGAACATGAATTTGCGCCGTTCCACTTTCATATCCTCCTCCTCTTTGACCAGAACGACATCGTCGTCATCCTCCTCCTGAATTTATAATCGAAAATGTATAACGACATACATAATATTACTTCATGCATGTGAACAAACTAGACAGAAATGTACTGGCATAAGTTAAGTAAAAGAAGAAAGACTTTGATATCTCACCTTCTTTTCATCCTTAGGCTTCTCAGAAGCTTCAGATTCAGCCTTCTCACTCTTAACATCTTCTTTCTTATCACCGTCATCTTTAACCTCCTCCTTAATTTTATCTGCTTCTTTATCTTCCGATTTCTTATCTTCAGATTTGTCATCTTCTTTGGGCGGTTCCTCGTCAACAGACATGCGCCGCTCTGGTTCCTTGGTTTCCTCTGGAACTTCTTTAGGTGAATCTTTTTCGTCCAACTTTTCTTCTTTTATGTCACTGGTATCCATAGGTTCATCCTTCAATTTAGTATCTTTGACCTCTGATTTGTCATCTTTAGATTCTTCTTTGTCATCCTTCTCTGATCCACCAGGTGTAGGTGCTTGTCCCGAAGCTTGAGTCAATTGCGTGGGCGCAGGCGAGGGTGCAGCCGACGTAATGGGGGTGGCAGTAGATGGCGCAGGACTTGCCGCCGCGCTTTCTCCCGCTGTGCCGGCTATCTTCACCGGTTCAACTGGCTTACGAATTAATTCCGGCATGCTATAATAACCATTAATATGCTCAAATTCTTGGACTTTCTTTCTTATTAAACTCATTACACCAATCCTCGTCAAGACATGCTGTCTGGAAAGACCTTCACGAGGCACGCCATCTGCAAACGTCTCGGCATTATCTGCTCCTGGTTCACACAAGTGCCGCATGAATAATGACACATACGCCTTGAAATTACGCTCTGATTTTCCTCTGAGATCTCTAACTAGCCACTGGGAATTAAAAGCATCTTGTGGCGGCATGCCATACCGCATAATAGCATTAAGGAAAGACTTCCTTTGCCTTGCATTAAAACCAAGTACTTCCATATTACCTCCGACTCGAGCAAGTAGCGGTGGTAACGGCCTATCTCTCTCTTCTCGTCTTTCAAGACGCCTCTTACTGCGACGACTAAGAAGATCCCCATTGTCGTTCTTTTCATCGAAATCATCATCTTCTTTATCATCCTCGCTTCCCTGTGAGTAATCTGAATTGAAATCAGAACCATTTTCTTGCCAAGTGCTATCTTCCCTATTTTCTGTTTGAACAACACTGCCGTCGTTATAATTAACTTGTTTACGTACTCGCTTGCCTTTACCTAATGTCCTGGCCTGATCTTCTTGGTGTTGTTCATAATGATGCCTGAGCAGTTTGATCCAGTAAGCAGGATCAGTATTTTCAGCCTCCTGTTTAATAATTTCTGTGTCCACTTCCTCTTCACCATCTCCTTCCTTTGTGGAATAACTAGCCACTTTGAATGAGCTAAGATACTCATTAGCCCAAGACTCCTTCTGTTCAATACCCTCCTTAGACCGATCAAGCAACTCTCCAACGGCTTTGTCATCATAATGAATTGCTTCTTCTTTCCCTTCCTCTTCCTTGAACAGTTCTTCTGTACCAAATCGCAGAATGTCGTCCAATTCTTGTTTAGTAAAATTAGCACCCTTTCCACCCATACCTGGCCGTACAACCAAATGTGTCAACATCATCTTTCTTTTAGCCACCTGTGTTACTCTTTCTTCAACACTATTACGTGTTACGAAACGATAAATCATTACTTTATTCGCTTGACCAATACGATGGGCTCGTGAAAACGCCTGAATGTCATTATGAGGGTTCCAGTCGGAATCATAAATGATAACAGTATCAGCAGTAGCCAAATTAATACCCAAACCACCTGCTCTTGTTGATAAAAGGAACACAAACTGTTGAGCTCCTGGGGCATTAAACCTATCAATAGCTTCCTGCCGAATTGTTCCAGTAATACCACCATCAATCCTCTCATATTTGTAACCCTCACCCTCGAGAAAATCTTCAAGGATATCCAACATTTTTGTCATTTGTGAAAATATAAGTACTCTGTGTCCTTGTTCTTTGAGCTGTTTCAACATTTTAGACATGAGTACAAGTTTTCCAGATGCTTTGATAAGAGCTTGAGTATCATAATTGCCATGTGGACCCAGAGGTGCTTCTTCAGCAGCTACAGGGAACAAGTAAGGGTGATTGCAACATTTTTTCAAGTCCATCATTACATTGAGAAGTGACACAGTTTGACCTCCACTTTTTGGGTTAAGGGCTTCATAATTTCTTGTTAAAATATACTTGTAGTATTTCTTTTGCATGGGAGACAGTTCAACACGTACAATAAACTCAGACTTAGTAGGCATATTCTTCAAGACGTCAGCCTTGAGTCGCCGCAGCATGTGCGGTCCTAACATTTCATGAAGCCTCTTTACTTGTTCCTCTTTAGACACATCTGCAAATTCATTCTGGAAAGCAGCCAGATCATTGAACTTATCTTTATTTAAGAAGTTCAACAAATGGAACAATTCCTCTAGATTGTTCTGTAATGGAGTACCAGTAAGTAGCAATTTGTAATTAATGTGATAACTAGCTAGCAACCTGAAGAACTTGGATTGATTACTTTTAAGCCTGTGAGCTTCATCTACAACGAGAACAGCCCAGTCAATTGAACCAAGGCAAGTAGAATCAATAGATATCAACTCGTATGATGTTAATAGTACATTAAACTTCACTTGTGACTTAATTTTAGAGGGTCTACCACCTCTATTAGCGCCGTCATCAAAAGTCAACTCATTTTCTCTTATAACGGCTCTAGAGTCCTTATCACCAACATATGTGATGCAGTACAAGTCTGGAGCCCATAGCTCAAACTCTCTCTCCCAATTAATGATTGTAGAAAGAGGAACAGAAACTAAAAATGGACCCTTGCAATGTCCCTCCTTAAACAGAGAATACAGGAATGTAACAGTTTGAATTGTTTTACCGAGACCCATTTCGTCAGCTAGAATAGTGTCAATGCTTTGGCCCCAAGAGTACCGTAACCAGTTAAGACCTTCCAACTGATATGGATGAAGCTGCATGCCAGTTTCATAAACAAATGGCGGCTGATCTTCATATTTCTTATTGAGGTTGGTCGCGGGGCGTTCCGGCGGCGGATTGTACTTTCTGGGTTTCATTTGTAAACCACCGCTGTTGTCATCATCGTCTATTACATCGCGATTCTTGCTTTTACGACCCACTTTTTTGCCTTTGCTGCCTTTCGACTTGCCTTCAGAGGTGATGAATGCACGCATGTCCTACAAACAAGTATAAAAATATTACACAAATGCAATGAAACTATCATCAACCTAAAGTAAACTATCATTATATACTGTTTTAAACTTGACGCGGTCATTATTTATACGTATAATTAGTAAAAATCACGGGATCTTACCACGTTTTATATTTATTTGTTGAGTTCCCGATATTTCGGTAGTGTTTCAACCACCATATATAAACTGAAGAACAGCGGGTAGATGGAAAATGAAATCTTTTTATGGGCAGACATATGCGTCATTTTCTTACTAATTATACGTATAAACTATCATTAAACTAAGGTTGATGAAGCAACTTTAGTTTAATACAAGCTTTTCCTCTTCAATATAAGCTTCTAAATTATAATAGTATGAACCAATGAAGCTAATCAATTTGGGATACGGGAGAATTGTGTGCTATATCAGATATTCTGCAGGTAAATTTAGAAGGTTTTTTATATTAAGGATTTCTTAAAATTAATATACTGCCCATCAACCATTCAAAAATCTACCTGATAGTACTCCATGGCGGTCTTGAAACCGGGAATATCCTCAGTCTCCGCCTCCCAGGTGGCCTGGTCGTATGAGAGGTCCCTCCACTTAACCAGATAGTATGTGGTGCCATCACGAGATGTGCGGTGGTTGATCACACGATGTACAACCAACCACTCAGGTTTCACGCCATATCTGAAACATCATAGCACATTGTTGCATTAATGTATTATGTGGATTAATTAATTCCTCACATGTTAGTTTAAATTTTATACATGTCAAAATATTATTTATATTGTTACAAAATCCTGTTTTACATTACTTTTAACAGAATCATATAAATAAATATATATATATTACATGCTTGTAATAAAAACTTTTTGGGGAAGGCCTTTGTTTGAACTTGAGATATTATAGCTTTAAATTGGAATAGTAAATCAATAGGCCAAAACGGTCTCAAACTACTATTATTATTTAATTGCACTAAAGGCTATAAGCCCATACTCACTTGTAGTATTTCTCCTCAAGTTCGTCGTTGTCGTGGTCCTGCGACTGTTTGTCTTTGAGCCGCTTGAGGCGACCATCGCGTTCGTCCAGAGGCTCCTCCAGCTTGGGAGGCTCCTCAGGATCAGATTTCCGCATGCAGTACCGGTACATAAGCGGATGAAACACGTCCAGCTGTTGGCGTACTGTTTCATTAGATAACGGACTAACAAAATTGGCTAAAGATTGTACAAGTGAAAGAGTGTTTCTATTTATGACGCTATTAATATAAAAACAGTAATCATATTGCTTAAATGGTTATGTAAATTAATAATCTATACCTTTATCAATAAAACTTAAATGTGATACAATAATTTTGGTGCACCTATGGTGTTTTATAAACAAATTCCCTTTTTATTACTGGTATTGTTATTCAGGAGTATCTAAAGAAATTATAGAATATGCAATGATTATTCTACAATAATTAATATATAATATACATTATATTAGCTGAAAAATTAATAAGAACATATCATAATGATTAACATTAAATGATTATGATATGCTCTTATAGTCTAATAATATGCGTCTGACTTATATTATATATACTGACCTGAATTTCCGATATCCAACTGCAGTGCCAATATGACTTCTCGTGCCATTTAACAAAGAACTCTCGGGCGCGAGGCGCCTTAGACTTAGACGACTCTTCTTTCCAGCGCCACGTCAAAATCTTTGCTACCTTGCCGTCCAAAGGAGGACACTGGAAAACAAATATTAATATTATTACATTTGTTATTTCATAATTATCCAATATATTCTGAAAGTACTTTTCAAAAAACTAAACTTACAGAGGAAAGCCTGTATGACTAAAACTGTTACTTGAATAAAAATTTTGTATATAATTATTATATTATACAATCTTCAATATAAAGCAAGACATCTATACCTGTATATGTAAAGTTTAAAAACTAATATCATAACAATGATATTAGTTTTTAAACTTTTACATATAAACATTTACATATACAAAAGATCTGTCATTAATCAAAGCTAATATACAAATTACTGAGATTATGAATGACATAAGTGGCTAAAATGTTCTACATAAAAAAATGTTTTTATGTTTGAGTTGAAATAGTATAATGACCGGCTATCTGTATTTTTATACTAAAAACTTGTAAATTTTTTTTACAAGTTTTTAGTATAAAAATACAAACAAAATATATGACAAATTTTCAATATTTAAATTAATGTCAAATAATATTATTTTTCAAGTTACTTACACTACATCGTGGACATTTCCAGTCCCCATCAGGCACCTCGTCAAGTGGTGGGTTTAGACAGAACCGATGGTATGCAGAAGGGCAAGAATCACAACACAATAGTTCACCGCCATCTTTGCAAATCCTGTAATTATAGGCATATCACTGTAATAAATACATTCATACTGTCAGACTTATAATATAAGTGTATGTTTGTCTGTTTTTTACCTTGTCACAACTAAACCGTTGAAGATAGATTGTATAACTGGGCGATTATTTATATTTCTATGTTAATCTTTAGTTATTTATCTTTACTATATACATATTTCAAACATGCACAATGGCTCAGATGAGAGACTAATGTGTTACAGGTAAAAATGTAAAGTAACGTAAAGCTTGTACAAAATGTATACATATAACAGAAACCTATTTCAGTCACATATACATTCTTGCAAATAAAATTTTTGCATCAAATGGTTTGACAATACCAAACAATCCAAGTATAATATTCAGAACAATTTTATTATAGATAAATTAATCACATCGATATTGTAAATGAGTAAGCAATTATACATTATACACATTATCAATATACAATAGTTAAAGGGTTTTAACACACATTATTTTATGGTAAATAAAGGTATTCACCTCCATTTAATTATATTAGTATTGTTTACCAAAATGCGAAAGTTAAAAATAAGTATTACTTTTGATACATTTTGTCATGACTCACCTACAGAACTCCTGGTGCTCGTCGTCATCGTCCTGGTCCTGGTTGCCCTCGGCCTCGCAGTGCGGACACGACCAGCGCCCCTCCGGCGTCTCCTCGAGCTCGGGCTCCAGGCACACCAAGTGGTAAGCGCGTGGGCACGTGTCGCACAGTATAATTTCGCCGCCTTGTTGACATACCTTATAAGAAATATTTTTTTTTTAAAACTGTGTGTGACAAATATGGACATATATAAAATAGACTCCCTGGCTACTATACTAATAGCATATAGACTATGTGAATTTGGACTGATTTTTGTGAAAGATTTTCGCAAATGATTAGTAACAACAAAACAATGATAAACAGAAACTAAAATTAGTTTTTCTTAGTAATTAATATCTACACCATTATTTTAAAGGTAGTGGATTTTGTTACAGGGAAAGTAAACTTAGAAACCGGTTTACTAAGAAAAACGAATTTAAGAGTTTATAAATTTTTCTTTTCTTATTATTGATAAAATAAATTTTACTCACTTCACAGTAATCCTGGTGTTCCTGTTCACCTTCAGCACCATCTGGAAACTTATTGGTTGTCTTCAGTTTCCTTCTCTTCTTGCTCTTATTTCCGATTTTAGTCTTTGCTTTCTTCTTCGGTACTTGCTGTAAAATATATTAATTTCGAATTTTACATGGTACAAGTCACATTGTTAATATATAAAGTATATATATATAATAAAAATTCAAGGGCCAAGCATACTTTGGTTTGTTAGCTATCTTTCGGTTAAAAGTGAGATAATCCAGTAAAATTAGAGGATAAGATCCATGACATCTTAGTCCTCCAGTATGTATCTCCAATGAATTAGTTGTGTCATGGACGTCACATGACAATGTAATATCCGTAGTGGTAATGCACAACGGCCCAAATGAGAGGCTAATTGCAGAGAATATAGGAATATCCTATAATATATAATAGGAATACCACTACGGATAATGTAATGTTGACTCTCCACATTACATTATCTGTAGTGGTATTCCTGTACACAGGCAATAGTTACCACTTAGAATCAGTTGTGCCGTTAGCTTGGTTGTCATTCAAATTACAAAAAAGAATTTTAGAATATATTTTTTTAATACATTGTTTGTAATCCTAAACAAATATGTATCTATTTTTATAGAATCATATCATACAAACATACCGGTGCATTAGGGTCTTCTTCTTTCGGCTGAGCACCTTCCTCAGTAGGGGCGGCAGTCGATGCGGAAGGCTTAGGCTCTTCTGCTTCGGCCAGCATCTGCTCGAACTCCGCGTCCGAGTCTGTGTTAGCACCCGCACTGCCTTCTGGTTCTTCCTCCTTCAATTATAAGAAAGATCTCAATATTATAACATGTATTAAAGACTTCATATGGAAGTTTAAACAGATAGTTGAGAAGTTTCTTCAACTGTCTTAAAAAACATGAACATGTTAAGTTTTACTGCTTAAATCTATTTAGTGGTTTTAAGGCCCACAAAAATATAACAGCAAACTTTTTATTTGAGGTGGATAGAAAATTTATCGAGTAAGGCAAGGGATTCGCTCCAATTGATTTATTTATAAAAGTTGTGGAAATGTGGCGCAGACAATCTGTAGCAACTGCAGATAGTATAATATAGAAGTGAATATTTAGTAATTATATTAAAGACAATTTCCATACTGCCATCAGATTGGTTATAACAAATACTTCAAATCAATTGTTCTGAATATTTTACACAAAGCAAGAATTTAATTAATGTAGTCACATATATGTGTACATACACTGCTTGTGCGCTTCCGCTTGCTGAACTTGATCTTAAGCGTGGGCACCTTAGGCTTCCGTCCGGGCTTCCCGCGCGGGGTGCTCCCGCTGCTGGGATGCTTGGGCTTACGGCCACGCTTGCGCGGCGCAGGGGTGCCTTCATCGCTTGCTTCCTCTTCCTCCTCTTCATCTTGTTCGTCGGCACCGTCTTCAGTCTACAATAAAAAAAATGGACATGATGAAAAACAACAATAAAAGCCGTACCACAAATGACTACACGATATGTATACAGAGTGAAAGCATTTCTGTTGGTGTTCATTCTGAAAAATTGTGTATTTTAATCGTACATGATAACAAACTAAGTATCGATATCACCATTTATATCTTTTGTGTAGTGACGTTTACCAATAACAAAATATACATTACTGTGACAGAATGATGCTATATTAAGTTATGATTACATTTAATTAAATTGCAATTATAAACAGATATATGTATATAGATAACAAAAAGAACACAGAACTCACCTTAACATCTTTAGGAGTTCGGGCAGACTTTCCCTTGCCACCATATTCAGATGCTGTAGAGGTGTTAGTATTCTCTTCTGAACCTATATTCTGTGTGCCGCCGCCGAGATTGGGATTAGTCTCGCAAAACAGTCGCCATTTTGCTGCCACCAGCATCATCAGTTTTGATATCGGAACCTAATCGAAGATTTCAATGTGTCAGTATAAAGGATTACGTTCTATCGTCATTGAAATCTAATCATGAATATTATATTGAAATAAGTATAATTCTGTTTTTATTTACCACAGCCACATGATGCAGTGGTCTAGTGGTTCAGCACACTGCCATAATTCCTAATATCGCGGCTTAGATTCCTCGCAAAGTATAAACACAGATAACATAATATTACAGATACCCCATCCCATACAAGAAAATGGTTCCTTCCTAACTCGGGCTATTCTTCGGGCTATTTTATTTCGCCACCGTAGCCGCTAGATGTCGCTAGATCTGAAGCAGTTCGGATTACTAGTGGGTGCTTAGTAACAAAGCATGAAAATAGATGGCAGTCAATTCAGTCTACATGACATCTGTTTTGCAAAGATATGTATATAATAGATATGTAGGTAACTGTATCGTGTACCTCATTAGGGACGATTCAAGATTCAATGTAAATGTGTAGGTATAATATCGTTAGCCGACACTCTGCAGATATGGCGTATGTGCCAATATGTATATACCTATTATGTTATGGTTTATTTTACATTCCATGCCTATTTTTTTGATATGTTGTAACGCGTCTGCGCTATACGTATAGCCTGATTTTGATACGTTTATACTCGTACGTATCAAAATTGGGCTATACGATTTTTTATTTCAATCGTTATATGTATGAGACTGATTTTAGCTACAATTAATTTACTGGTATATACCTCATGTATTCTACGATGTACCCCTCTTTTACCTAATGAGAATTCCGCTATATCTTATATATAAATTTTGTATCACAGTGTTAGTTGCCATATTTCTCCCACATTTTGATGAAATTTGATATGTATGCCAGGTCTGAGGTAGGGTTGTTATCTATTTTTTATACCCCTAAGTCATAGGGGTGGCCTACCCCGAAAAAATATTTTTTTGTATTATGGACAATTTTTTATTTATTTATAATGTTACATTGAAAATACATACACGCCTAAATTTTCACCCGTCTTTCACCAACCCCTATTTTTAATAGTGATATTCTTACAAATATTATAAATGCTAAAGTAACTCAGTCTGTCTGTTTGTCTCGCTTTCACGCCAAAACTACTGAACTGATTTAATTGAAATTTGGTAGACAGATAATGTAGACCCTGAGAAAGGCTACTTTTTAATGCGAAAAAGTATTGAAAGGGGAAATGAAAGGCTATATGAGGATATCGTAATTTTTAAAGTCAGATCTTGTAAGATTAAGTGAACAGGGTCGGTCTAGGTTTTTCATTATTAGAAATGTGTAACGGGGTAACACGTTATTTAGTGCGAAATTGTGTATATTACAACAAAATTTAACGAGAAAATATTATAATGATGTCACTGAGACACTCATTGCCTTACTACTATATCGTCCGTTAGTCGCGAACTTTCTGGAAACACGAGAGGCGCGCTCCTATTGGTCGGTCGGCGCGGTTACCGCGCGTAGATGAGTAGATGAGGTAGGCGAGTCTCACGGCGCCGCAGCGTAAGTACTTACTATACATACGTAGTATACATATGGGTGTTACAAATGTTTTTATTACGAGTAATATTACTCTGTTATCTAAGCAAGTAATGTGTGCTTATTTTGAACTTGATAACATTCTGAATTACTCGTATATCTTTCAATATCTTTAGCGGTATAAACCAGGTTATGTACTACTACTAGTATTGTTAGTGAGGGATAAAGTTGATGAACAAAAATAAAACAATATTCGTATTAAAAATATATTCATCTAATATTTTTGGCATTATTTTTAAGTTTCTTCCAAATACAAGGGGTCTGACATGGGGTGTTATATACCTACATTAAAAGATACTTTTTGAAATGTACGAAATGTATGTACCTACATTAAAAGATAATTTTTGACATGTATGAAATGTATGAAAGAAATGTATGTACCTACATTAAAATATAATTTTTGAAATGTATGAGATGTATGAAAGAAATGTATATACCTACATAAAAAGTTCATTTTTGAAATGTATGAAATGTATGAAAGAAATGTATGTACCTACATTAAAAGACAATTTTTGACATGTATGAAATGTATGAAAGAAATGTATGTACCTACATTAAAATATAATTTTTGAAATGTATGCACCGTACAATAACAATACACGTTAAACATCATACCACAGAGTCATACGCAAGTTAAAAACAAACTGCTATGATATTAATGAGAAAGGAAAATCAACTTTATGGTATTCGAGTTAGGGTCGATTTCTCTCTTTTTTTTAAATACTATTTTAATCTTACCAGTTGCCAGTATTCGAAGACAGCTACGATTCGTACTGGATATTTTAAATTATTATGGAATCGATTTTTTAGTACAAATGTAAATAACCAACGACACTAATAATGTACTACTATATTCCGTTCTTTGAAACGGAACACTGCTATAATACAAAATAATGAAAATTTACTGTTCACAACGACTCATGAAAAGCATCATCGAATAATGCGCTGTAATAAAATCCTGTTATCGATTATTCAAAAAAATCGATAATACATGTATTTATTTTTAATATGACAACACTTCATACATAAGTATTATTGGAAATAGTATTACTTGCTTGTTCGGCTATTTTTAATTTACTTAAAAATTTTTTATATGTTTAATTTACAATAATAATATATTAAGTGCTTATTATTGGAAAATATAAAAAAGACATTTAATTAGGCCGATACAAATGACGACAATGCCATCTATGAAAGCATTTTGACAACATTGAGCCCCATATTAGCACTGATTAAAGTGTAATTAAGTACTGGAAAATAACAAAATGAGTAAATATATGAAAATTACTTTTCTAAACGCATTATTTCATTTTAACATGGATATATAACTTTTTAAAAATTGATTAAACATTTTTGAAAACACAGTTTTGTTTTTTAAAACGTTTGCAAAACTATGAAGAATTCCATCGATACCAATCACGCCATCTATATGCAACTTTTAGCAATAATAATGGCTACTTCCTCATTGAGTGCCACTGGTATAAACATTTGTATTCATGAATATGATTGTTTGTATTAGTCTGGGTGTTCTCTATGTATATTAAGTATTTACAAAAAAATGTATACAAGTATATTCGGTTATATAAGTTGTCTAGTTCTGCTTAGATTGGGACTAGATTGCGCTGTGTGAATTGTCATGGGATTATTATTATATCATTAGCCAACAATTCACATAGGTTAAACTAAGAAAATACACAAGACATACCTTAGGGTTTTCCTTCACAAGCATGGGACGTACATGCTGCTGAAATAACTTGTAAGATGTAAGGTTCTCGAAGTCTGCATCTGTGTATTGTATGTCGACATCTGCGAGGCCGAAAGAGGAACATACCTCTTCTACTGTGGGCATACCTGTCAATACAAAGACTACTATTACAATCTTAGCTTAGGTATAGCCAAAATATTGTATAAAAATATTTATTCATTCATTCATAATTTATGAGCGACACTCTTGTCGATGGAGCTCTTGCGACTTTCCACGATGTTCTATCATGCTCTTTACACGTTGATAAAACAAAATTATAGTTCCTTTGATTTTGATTTGATTGTTCTATCAACATTTAAAAATATTTATAGAACTTTGATAAAGTTTTATTATTAAAAAATACAAAGTTATACAGCATGGAATTAAAAATGTAAAAATACAAAATCAGCGATATAATGTAGTTATAGTCTGTCCCAATTATCTTCATATGTTGCAACCTGAGTTATATATGGGAAATAAAGTAAATAAGATTGTTAAGACTGTATACCTAGAACAAATTGAACTACAAAATAATTGTTAAGCTGGGCATAGCAAAGATAGTCACAACACATTTAAACTCAATTTCTTTATCCACCAGTATCAATTCTTTGATTATTGTGAAACTCAATATTTTACAATACATGTATTTGTTTAATTGGGTAAATTGTTGAGAACCTTTTTTTTCATAATACATATATAGAGATAGGTATAATCTTAATTCAAAACAATTCATACATTATATATTACTCGTAAATTACTTCAGATTTAATACTAGCTGTTCCCGCGACTTCGTCCGCGTGGAATTTATCTTTATTTTTCTAAAATGAAAGATTTTTTCTAAAATAAAAGTAGCCAGTAACTAAGGCTTCTATGACATCAGCTACCTGCCAAAAAATAGTCCCGTCAAAATCGGTACAGCCATTTCAGAGATTAGCCAGAACAAACAGACAGACAAAAAATTAAAAAAATGTTATTTTGGTATATGTACCGTATTTATATTCATATGCAAGTAGTAAAAAACTGTTATTTCAACATTACAAACAGACACTCTTAGACACTTTTTATGTATTGATGTATAGATGAATAAATTACTTCAGATTTAGATGGTTTATTGAATAAAAAATATAATTTTATTTATTTACTTGAAAAGTATACTAACAGACGAATGTAGTGGAAGACTAATACATAATGCATTTGCTTTTTTTATAAGTATAAAGCTATATTAGCTGATATTTCTGATAGAGACGTGAGGATTACAATCTGATTTCAATCTTAACTCATGTCATATGTGGTTTTATTATCCAGGTCAGAAAAAACAATGCAATGCTTCGTAAACATGCAATTATTGTATATATGCAATAATAAATTACATTAAGAAAAAATAATTCATTTGGGAAATCAACTGTAAAGTCGATTTAAAAATTGCATTGTAATCTAGTGGTCCTTTTATGAAAAAGTAACAAATTCATCTTTACAAACTTTCCCTTTTGTTATATATTATAGTAAGTTGTATATGGTGTGATATTAATGTATGTAGGCGATGATTGTCCCATTCCATAAGGTTTCATTTCTGGAGAATCTTTTTTATCATTTCCTTTTTATAAAAGACATTTTGTACTATGTTTTCAAACATTTAAAAGGCATTAAATTTAATAACAATGTAAAGTCATTTAAGATGTAGTTGTGACATCAAAATAGGTAACGGTGATATCGAAAGTTCATCGCACTCTTGACCTTGAAGACTTGAATACAAGCCAAGTGCTTAGATTCAAACAATTACTATAGCTATTATGTGTGTATACATTCTCATTGGAAACAGCAATGGGATACTAATATTTAAAATACTTTATGGACTAGCCGCGCCCGCGACTTCGTTCGCGCGAGTTATACTGACCTGGACTAAATAAAGAAAAAATATTTAATAAACTAACCTAAAAAGCCAAAGGAAAAGGTTCATCGTTCTAGTTTCAAAAATGACGATAGTCCATACAAAGTTTTATCCCCTAATTTATTTAACCCCTTTAAGATTTTTATAATTTTTTAATTCAAGCTTGAAACTTTAAATAATACAGCCTTTCCCACCTAGGAAGAAAAATATGTCATGAATGGTAATTTATGAAGGTGGCAGGGCATATTATTTAATATTTATTTATTTATTATTCAAATTTCTTTGGGAGAAAAGGGTTCAGTTAAAATGTCTGTATGTAATTTCAAATTGTCAACTTCACTAACCAAAAATTAATTAGACATTTTATTTGACCGGACGGGACTTCAACTTACAGATAGCCAATGTTATAAGGAGTAACTTAAAATACTTTTATTTAATAATTTAGATATTTCCACACAGACGTAATTGTGGATAACAGCTAGTCCTATTATACATATAATCAAATGTAACCTATTTAATAATTACGAAATATAGCATTATATTATAATATAAGCATTATTTTTTTACATAATGAACTAACATATTATTTGATGTCAACACTTACCAGATCCCGTATCGGATGCTGCTGGAGTTACAGGTGTACTGTGCTTACTACCTCGGCCTTTCCGAGATTTTTTTCCTGAGGACATTGCACTGAGCGCATAGTCACTATCCCCCTCCGCCTCAATTTCAAGGCCAAACTCATCATCCTAAATAAAATAAATATTATTAATAACTAATGAATGCAATGGTTAGGACCTGTAGGTAATAGGCGTGTAGTAAGACAGGAAAAGATGGTCTGACAATATTAAAATATAGCAGGAAAAATAAGATTGTTGTTATTTTGTATGTATCAGCAAGTTGGAGGTTTTTACCCACACAGGACCATACACATACAAGCAAAATTAAATATTTGTATTATTTAAAACTATAAATGTAAACTATAATAAAAGGGGAACTAAAGCTAAATAATAATTAATAAATAATGAGAAAACCTTAAACATCAGGAGAATAGTTTTCAAGAAATCATAATGTGTTCTTCGGGCATATAATACTTAAGTTGTTATATTTTAATACTAATAATCATTCTTTCTTAATTAAATTAGTTTTGTTTAACCATAGATAACCATCTCCACAACGCTTTGATTATTTAAAAAAAATAATTAAAGATTTTTTAATCACATGAAAAGGTTTTTATTAGCAGGAATAGACAACTTTACTTTAAATCAGTAGAAATATTTCTTGAATTTTTGACTACATATAATTTATTTTTGGGTTTTTCTAAGTGAACACTTAGAAAAAATATATAATATTACTTTACTAAATAATTCAATATGTTTGTGATAGTAGTTATTCAGTTATTTTTTACTGAAATGACAACCAATATTTCATAGTATTTGGGTGGTATGAGTAATTGATTTATTATATTTGATAGTGTTAGAACAACAACTTTGTAAAAACATACTGCTATAATAACTCACAATTGAATTATAAATATTCTTACTATTAATATAGGTATAACTATTTAATATACTAACTTCTTCACTCTCATTTTTCCTCTTCTTCTTTTTCTTTCTGCCCTTTTTGTCTTCTCCTCTAGCCTTCCTCTTCTTTCCTTTCTTTTTTTTTCTACCATCTTCAGGTGAATAATCCTCATCCTCCTACAAAAATATACACTTGTAAAAAATTATAAATTATATAGAATATAATTCTATAAAATAAATCTATAATACACCATATTGCTCATGTATATTTTAAGGAAATTGTAACTGATCTTTCAGCATACAACTAAGTAGACTTTGTGTAATTTATAATCGAACAATACAGATTCTTATTATAAAAATAAACAAATGTTTATAAACATTTCAAATCATATGTTATTATTTCTATTATTAAAATCATGGGTTGGAATCATCAAAAACCATGGATGGAATATTCAATCTTTATTAATGTGTATCTGTGAGATATTGTATTCTCAATATTTAACTGATGTTACATGTGATGTTTATGAAGGCATAATATTATGAAATTATCACCTCAATACATCAAGAATATGTTATATAATTACAAGTGTTTTACTATACACCTATGGGATAGTACAGGTAGATATTTTTTGTCATCAAAAGATCAAAGAAAGTAAACTGATGGTAAGTAAACATTAAAGCAAAACATGAATAATAAATAAACATTACATACTATTAGCTTAGACTGAGCAAGTGATGTTGTGTTGGATATTTAGTAGGTAAAATAGATAGTTAAATATATAAGATATTTGTGGTTATATTTTCATTTACCTTTGGTGGAGCTTCATCACTTTCTCCAGAGTTCTCATTTTGACCCTCGCCTTCTTCCACGTCCTCGTCGCCTGCAAGTTCACAATAAACTGGTCAATCTACTTCAAACACGATTTACACTTGACCATGAACCAGGAAACCACGAGGAGACACCTTTTAGCGCCACACATGCACACCTCACGGTAAGGTCACTAATCCCTTTGTTTGGCGGCGTCCATTTTGTTAAGTAGTAATGAGGGGATTTTGCATGTTCTTTTCTGTCACAAACTGCCACTTAAAATATATACAACCATGCAACAACAAATACGCCATTAAAGCACTGATAAACATGATCCTTGGTAATGTTTTGGTTTGTTTGTGCTAATTTATCAAATATTTAACATTTTGAAAGCCGAAATTTTCTATTCTTCTAATTGCTTATACCGCAAGTAAACACATGATACCGCTATTCGCGGTTTACCTATGACATACTAGCCAAATTAAATCATTTACCTGCAAAAGAACCGTCTACTTCATCATCTGAAGCCATTTAGATCACTATTTAACACTATCAGCACTAATGTGAAAGATTTTGGTCTAGAAAAGATAAAGGACGCGCAGTTTTTGCGACAAATGGTAATTAATTCAGAAATTGATGCCGCCGTCACCGAGAACTAGATAGACATGCTATCTCTTTCTACCGTAAATAGAAAAAATGTAGGGTGTACAGATGAAAAATTTAAAATACTACTTAATAATTAACTTATTAGGAAAATGTTATACGGCTATAAATATATTAACCAAAAACTTAAAATCCATTAATATGACAATTGTTATTCCTAAAAAAACGTATATCTCATCTGGCTATTGAAATTGTATTGTGCGTATTCAATAGACGTCACCATTACTAATATTGCAATGTAAAATACACTTGATATGTTTGTAGGTGCATTTCCATATTATTATAAAGTTTCACAATATTTGTATGTTTATAAATGTATTTATGTTGTTGTATATATATTTTTTTATTCTATGTAGGTATATAATTAAAAAATGTCCATCAAACAATAAATGCAAACCATCATTACAAAATCCGTACAAATTAGTGGGGTAAAACCTTTAGTCTTGCATTAGTCTTTTTGGTGTTTAGTGCTACCTAATACTTTTTGTTACGTAATAAAAAAGTAACAAATCTCACATATTGGGGACTAGAATGTGAATTTCTGATAAAAGGGAAGCAAGACGGTAATTGGCAATATTGTATCCACTGAAGCCAGATTTTTTTACAATATCGGATAATTTGCAGAATATGCACGTGTAGAATATAACTTGCCATTGTAGGTATGGGGCATGTTTTCAATACCTTATTAAAAATAAGAATACAACCTTTCCGGATAAGAGGTGTGGAAAAAGCTATCTCAAAAATGAGTATCACCAATCCGAAAATTTGGGGAGGATGCAGTTACTTATCTGGCAACATTGTCCATTTTGTGTGTACCTTGAGTCCACAGCCGTAAAATATAAACAAAAAAAATACTTTTGTCAATACTTGTCATATTTTGTGGTTGTTTATGGTATTGATTGTAGAATATCGAATTTTTTAATATTGATTTTATCTATATGTTCAATTTGGTTTCAGTATAATTAAATAACTTGTAAAAACAATATCTTTTTATCGAAATCTTTTGGATATTACTATAAAATGAATGCACTGTTGGATTACGGTACGTCGTCCTCCAGTGATTCAGAAGATGCACAAGAAGATACAGACAAGCAAGTATTGAAAGATTATATATTGGTTTTTCTTTTCATACATATTGCCAATTCGTCTGCAAAATAACTGGATAAATGTGGAATAGAATAGTATTGTAATATTTGTATATTATACTTACAGATGTCAGGAGAGTACAAAACCCAAATTACCTAAACCAGCTCTTGGAGAGAGCAGTTTACAAACTTCCGTATTTTCCAATCCATTTGTTGAAGCAGAATTAGCTAAGGCCGCTATTTTAGAGAAACATGTTAAAATGGTAAAGTTGAATTGATATTGACTTGTTTATGATCTATATTAGCTGCAACTTAATTAATTTATTAAAAATATTCATAAGGTTCCAATGAAATCAAAATATCTATTACAGACTCTTGATAACTAAAATCTAGCATGAGTTCTGAGTGCTTTCAAGCTAAGATGAACTGACAAACTCGGCTCTTATTATCTCTTGGTCAATAATTTTATTTCTGGATACAGATATTGCACTGTTGTATAAAACATTATAAGTAATGCGATTACTTGGCAGTTTAAAGAACTTAAATTCTTTTATTGCTCTGCCCAACCCTATGTATTTGTTGCGGGCAACATGTATAACACAACTAATATACTATAATTAGTGTTTAGTTTGCTGAGCAATTAATTATACATAAATTGTAAAGTTGTCCCAAATCCTAAAATATTGAAGTTAATATTTTAGGACTTATAGACAAAATGTTTATAACATTTTGTCTATAATTTTAAACCATTATTATAATTATGTTGACCAATTTAGCAAATACAATAATTGTAGTAATGCTATATGTAAACAATACAGGTATCAAATTTAACATAAAATCGTCAAGTACATAGGCAATGACTGTAAGGTTCCAGGTAAAGACAATACACAGATGATAAATGGGAAGAAAATCTGTTGGAACTACAGGAAAGGAAGGTGTCGATTTGGTCACAATTGTAAATATGCCCATGATTCTGATATTCAGAAGACTGCAGAAGAATTAGAAATCGAGAAACAGGTATTGTGGTAACATTGTTGTTAAAATCATTTTATTTTTCCATTTATATTCATATAAATTAGATTGCAATTATTATTATGTTTAGATTTGATTGTAATTTACAATACCTAATAATATTGCGGTTGATGTGTTTTCTGCATCTTCATATTATTTAATTTTTTAAATTCAATGTGTTACTATTTACAGAAACTCAAATCAGTTGTATGCGAGGGAGCAGGCACAATGACATCTACCCCACCACCCCAAATATCAACGGACATGATATCTCCCACTGATGATGCAGTTTGGGAAGGAACTACAGAGAAAAAAAAATTAAAACGACCAGGCTTGAGTCAGACCTTAGTCCCAGGAAAGAAAGTTATGAAAATGTATAAGGATCAGAAAACCAAAGATTCCAATAAAAAATAAATGAATATCTTATATTTTTTTTACTTTAAGATAAACATTAATTATCAGCATTTCATAAGAAATTGAAAATAATACCAGTTAGATTTGTTGACTTTATTTACTACCACTCTTAGCACACTTTGTTCGTATGACCATTTATAGATCATCATTTCTTGATGATGATCAAACGAAAACAATAAATCATCTATATGTCGCCATCTATTACATGAATTGTTGAGATTGATTTTGGCTATCTGGCATTACTAACCAGGTTCTGAAAATTCTTGTTGGATAATATCATTCTAACACCAATGCTGATGCTAAAATGATGTTATGTTGCAAAAACGGGAAAATGGGACTTTGACAAAGGAATAAAAATAAAAAATTATATAACTATAACATACACCACCTATAATGTTTTATGGACATGTAACTGTTAACTATATACCTGAATCATGGATACCACAAAGTACAATGTGACGCTCCTTGCACATTTAATTTAAACTGTCACCAATATTGACTTATTGCTTTGTTTGGGGTGAATATCCAAAGGTTATTCTGTTTTTTATATTTAACAGATATGCCAACTACTACATACATGAACAGTTTTATGGACACAACCGCGTGGTATATACGCATAATGTGTTTACTAACACTTCTGACGACTAATCATATCATATCCTGATAACTGTTATACCTCTGTACTCTGTACTACCCTATATTATGAAATTATAGGGTATTTACTTCAACCGGAACAGTTTACAAAGCAAATTGTTTAGTGGATAAGATAGGCGAGACAGAGGTACCCAACTATCCACGCAGAAGAAGCATCTACTTTTTCTGCATTGCTAAATTATAGGATAAAAGTTCACTATAGGTAGAGCCTTTGGTTTGCGCGAATACACGCGTATTTTGTAATAACAAAAACACTAGTTCTGTTGATGCATTTTTCTTTATTAGAAAGAATGCCGAGAGACACTTAGGTACTTCCAAATTTTTACATACATTTCCAATAAGCGCCTACATATTAGGTACTTAGAAGTTTAAATATTTCACAAGTTACCAGAAAAAAATAAATATCACGTGGTTTACAATTAGAGCATCTGTTATTTGATGCCTGATGAAAAATAAAACGATATTACTCATTTAAAAAAATATCTCTCTTGTCTTTTCGGTGCAATTAGCCTTAAAAATAGTAATTTGGCATTTTCAGTGTTACAATATGCTTAGGTGATAGATAAATAGTTCTTAATAGCTCAGTTAATAGTACACAGCCATAAATAATGTTACCGTGGACTTTTGCCAAAAGCAAATAATATGTACAGAATTAGCTTCCGTTAAGTGTCATTAGCTAGCAATGTTTGAATACTTTGCAAAGTACATTTTTACATAAACATATGTAATTCACATAAGTACAATAAAATTTACTTTTAACACAACAAATTATGAATATTGCAACAACATCAATGTGCACATTAAATTCTATATTTTTAATCAAAAATATATTTCTTAGCACACAAAATTCGACACTAAAAGGCCACTAAAATGTACTGTAAATAAATAGGGTAACCATTGCTCAAGCTTACAAGACTTGTTTACAATAGGACCCTAAAATTAATTAAATTCTACGGCGACACGTGACACGACATCAAGAACATTTTATTTTAAAAACCACCACTCCACTACTTTTTTAAAGAATTTATAGTGGTGTATTTTCCTATCTTACAGGTAAATTACGGTTTTGTTAGTGAAAACAATATAGTCACGGTTAAAATATATCGTTATCTAAATGATAACTTTGAAGTTGAACGTCACAAACAATGCAGTTTATATAAAAATAACATCAAATAATTTAATGTATAAATATCCAATTCATTTGTGTTTAACAAATCTTGAAAGTGCATCCTCATTATTATATGATAAAATTATGTTAATACAGAACATACTGTAAATGTAAATTCCATTAAGTATTCCAATTTTATTAAGTACTAACCCTTGGTGTAAAGTGTTACATGTACTGAATATATAATAATTCAGTTTTCAAACATACATTACTGTGTGAAGGCACAAACAATATTTAACTATTTTATACATTTTTGTAATATTTTGTTAGTCCAATAAATATTAATGTAAGTCATAATAAATTAGTCCATTAATATGTTCTATATATTATTATGTCACAATTGCTATAAAAATATATATCATTTGCAATTTTACAATGATGTGAATATAATAAATACAATATATTGTATAATTCATCTGGACAGGCAGAGATCGAGTGTTACGAAGTACAATCCTATGACATAGTCTGTTTATTCATTTTAATTTTTAATATTAATATGAGCATAGAAATGTGAACATTATTGATATTACAAGTGGAATATTTATATCTAAATAGTACCAATCAGTTGTTTTTTATGTCTTAACAGCAACCTTGGCTATCTTTGGTGTTCCGAGATCTTCTATTCTGTGGTTACTTTGGAAGTTTTGTAGCTCCACCCCATGTGGCTTGCCATTGGTGATGTTAGCACCGTTAACGTGCCCGTGGCCGTTCGTGTCGCGGTGTCCGTTGACATTAGGATAACCCCCGGTTTTTCTTGACCCGTATCCGTTGACTTTTTCCGAATGTCCGTTCACTTTCTCGTCCGAGACGCCATTCACCTTACAGCGGTGATCAGGTTTACTATCACTATGCCCATTCATCGACCACTTAGAACGCCCTGATAAACCAAAAAACCTCGTTTAACCCCACACACTACAGTTCAGACGACATTGACGTAATTGTGTTGTTAGTCCTGGTTAAATACTAAATAGGAATGTTCATTATAAAAAATAAATTTATATATCTTGAACAATGTTAGTCCGTATTAGTGGAATCATCGGTAGAAAGCAATTCAGAGTACTTATGTCCAAGCTTAACAGGTTTCGAATCTGGAAAATTATGTTTATTTTAATATTCCATAAATTCCCGATAAACTACAATTAGCTGACAAAGGAGACTACAGTGCGGGACATACACATAGAGTGGTAGAACATCCAAATCTAAATATACACATAATGAGCAGGACAAAATCTATTTAATAAATAAAAAACTACACAAACTAGGTGCCTAAACTAGACTATCATACACAATTACGTCCGTGTCAACATCGTAATAAATTTTACATGCAGAAAGAGGGTATTTGAATTTGTTACATGAAGACAGCACAATAGTGATTTAAAACAAATAAGATCTCATAGTTTAGTAAGTAACTAAAAGAGAAAGAACAACACTATTTTTATATGAATTTTATAATAACCAAGCGTAATCATACGCAAAGACACAGTAAAGCTTACCGTTACTGTCGGTGCCGGCATAATACTTTTTTGACGTCTTCCAATCTTCTTTCAAGGACAAGTTGTACATAGAATAGGCTGGATCACCTGTGACTTCTTTCTCAATCGTCAGGAATTTTGGCAAAGACTGTATCAGGGTATCCTGATCGTACGTGGCGCTGTACGTTTCCAGCAATACCAGACCTCGGCACCTGAAATGTTTTATTAGACCAAAATTGATTAAACACACATAGTGTTACCAAATATTAAGTTATCATGCAAAATTCAGTTGATTCTTGAGAATATTTTTAAAATTGGCTGAATAAGTCTGAGCTAATTTACAGTAATCAATAAAACTTAATTTTATAAGGAAATGAAATATATATTAATGTACATAATATATAAATTGATTATACTTTTAAAAGAACAATTAAATATGTTAGAAAAGTTTGAATTTGCAATTAGTGTCTGATTGTCTATTTCGCGAAAGTGCATCAGCGTATAAATAATAAGTAGTTTCAATTCAGTTTTGTTACGCGTAATCACTCTTATTTGAATAAAGTAGCAAGTTCCATCTCCATATAAATAGTTCTTAAAACCAAATAATCACCTAGGATGTGTGGGTTGCCTATATATATCCAACTGGTAGTACTGGTTGTTGTAGATAAAACAACGCCGCTTCTTGAATATTGTGAAGTGTGCGTCGTCACGCTGCGGCAGCATATTGAGATAATCTCGATGTGTCAATTGTGTTCTTACTTCGACTGACTGGCCGTTCGTGGGATGGAATTTTCTTAAAGTATGAATGTATGACCAGTGGCCTTTCTGCCCGCGTTTGCGGAGCCTGACTTGGGCTTTACGCAAATCGCTCTGCAAGTAATTGTGTACGACGTCGAAGTCTTGAAATGGCGGGAACTCCGTGTCAACAGGGATAGGCGATTTGACAAGGAACTTGCGTTTCTTCGAGTTCACGTTGAGCCTGTCACCGGTGTCAATACCAATTTTCTGGCAAACGCAGGCAATGAGTCGGTTCATTTTCTTATCAAAATCTGTGGAGTTATCGATTACGTCGAAGTAGGGGTGGCCGATCCATGCCGCGGCCGCGTTGTAGTCTAACTCCCGGGCTAATTCAACACCTTCTGAACGGCATGCGTGATCCTATAAGTGAAAAATAAAGGAGATATATGAAGAGCCTCTTATAATTATTATATCCTTATAATTATATAATAGATTATCATCTATTAGTATACAAAATTGCTTAAAAATCGGCAACTTCTTGGTAATAATACATTATATATATCTCTTGGATATGGTAGCAATAATAACCTACATGATTCGTCATTGTAACTTTTCCACCATGATAGCGCTTCGACGTAATTGTTTATAACACAGTAGGTACATAGTATTTATAACACAAAGCACAATAATTCTACAGATATACAAATTATAATTAGCACTCAATTGTTAAATTTATTGTTTTTGATTTCAAAATAATCCTTTCTTTGAATTCAACAATGATAACCAAATTAGCACGTCATATCTAGTTTTGATTGCAAATCTAGTATAATAATTTGTTATAAAGATATAATTAAATGGAATATTTTTAAATACAAATTATTTTATCATAAATTGTTTATTTTTATTGACTTTAAGCTATTGAGTATACAATAATAAAATGTAACAAGTTTACGCTACGATTACGTTAG